TCAAACCCAACCCAACCCGTTGGGTATCCGCGGGTTCATGGGTACCCACGGGTTTTGTCGTAAAAAATTTACAATTACAAGTTCTTATAAAAATTAAAGTCAAATATCAATCTCTCAATACAAATTATTCATATATAAAATACCATTCTAGAAAATTCAAGCAAATCACAAATAAACTATACAAATTGTTCAACACCAATCTAGAAAACTCAAGAAAATTGAAGCAAATCACAAATTATTCATAAATAACATGTTTAATTGAAAGCTTCTTCCTTTCAATTAAGTTTCTTTACTCTCCACTCCATAACATCAACTTCATTCTACACAATTAAAAAGAAAAAATTAGACATGTCTCCACAAACATAAATAAGATTAGTTGTTTAGAATATTAAATATACCAAAAAAATTAATTATATGAGTGGGCGGGTACCCACGGGCCGGGTTTACCTAAACCCAAACCCAACCCAACCCGATGAATAGTGAACGGGTTTAAACCCAAATTCGGCCCAAAACCCGTCAACACAGATTTTACCCGCGTTGACCGGGTTGGGTCGGGTGGGTACCCGTGGGTTCGGGTTTTGTTGCCATCCCTAATTATATAGCTTGCATTGCTGGCCTGCCAGTCTCCAGGGTCCAGCTAGAGTTGTCAATCATGATGGGCTCCGGAGGTCGGCCACTTGACCTCTTCTAAATGGAGAGCTCACTGGGCCCATAAAAATCCGACATCACGGGGGCTGGGCTATTCTCATGAAACAGGCTGCAGTGGAAATGGACCGATGCAGACGTTCTGTGGGTAGGACACATGGACCCTTCTCGTGGACAAGGAGGCCCGAATAGTATGACGAGTTTGTGATTGTATTATTTTTCTGGATTTTTTTTTTATCGTACTCAAAGCTAGTTAGGCTTGTTTTGTTGATTTCTAAATTGATGTATTTATCATGTATAATACTATATATATATATAAGAAAATTGATGTATTATATAAATGCCACATTTGGTAACTGAGATTATTAAATCATGTCATGTTTAGTCACTAGAAAAAATTATTATCAATTTTGGTCACTCGAATTACTAAAATATGTCACATTTAGTCACTCTCCCGTTAGTTTCCGTCCAACTCCATTGATAGAGTTGGACGGAGGCTAACGGAGGGTGATTAAATGTGACATATTTCAGCAATTCGAGTGACATTCATAAAAAAAAAGTAGTTCGAGTGACCGGAGTTGGACGGGGGATAACGAGAGAGTGACTAAATGTGACATGTTTTCGTAATTCGAGTGACCAAATTTGATATTAATTTTTTTATAGTGACTAAACTTAACACGATTTAGTAATCTTAGTGACCAAATGTGGCATTTATCCTATATTTTACATTAATTGATTTATATGATAGTTATTGTGGTATTTACATAAGTTATATACTTATACAGTTATAAATATTTTTTTTACTTTTTGGATGAAATGTCACTTTTAACTTTTATTTTTAATACTAAGAACATAACACAGATGTAGTGATATAATTGTAACAAACAAAAATCCAACAATCTCATATCATTTTGAGTGATATTTTGAGTTCTAAATTCTATAAATTGCATTTAATATCAGAGATGTCATTTTTCCAACTCTTATAGGATTAGCAAGCTAACTGCTCCCTTTACTAACAAGGACTATATAATATAACACATGCTAACCGTATGTGGATAACTATCTCGCGACGTATTATTTATATCTTGGTTTGCCAATTATATATACACAATATATTTTGGATGTCCGATCCATATAGAGACCCTACTCATATGCAAATTGAAGCCAAGACCACCTTGTTGATGGATGTGACAGAACCATTGAAATGCTTATTAATCCAGTAAAAAATAATTAATAAAAAAGTTGGTGATTAAGAAACTAATTAGAAGATACACGAAAAAGAATAGTATCTAATCAAAGCTTTAGTAAAAGATAAGTGGCTAGGGGGGTAGGGTAGGGCTAGGTATTATTAGGCCAAATAAGATTTGAGTGATGATCGAGGGGGCTAATTAACAAGCTTTGCAGGTACAAGTTACCTTGCTGCTTTTTTGGCCAAGTGCAAGCACTTGCTATACTAATTACTTTATTAATTTCTGTTCTTTCATTATTTAGATGCCTGGTTTAATTAATTTGATTGGTTATAATGGACTAGATCTGCATTAGCTATCTCCGAGCTAATTGGTTCAATGTTAGCATATATGTGATTGGATTGATTCTAAAGGGGGCATGTATGGTTATACTTAATTAATGCTCATAAATAAGCTGATATTTTCATCTGGCTTGTGGAAAGCTGAAATGCATGGTTGTTGGGAAATCGGAATATGGTAGAAACTGTTGTTTATTATTATTGAACCACGATGAGTTTTATATAGAGTATAGTGACAGAGTCTTATAATAACCCTAAGAATAATATGGAAAATACATAACTTCTACGACTCTAATAAGAAATATAGCTTTGCCGAATCACATTCTGGTATTCGTAGTATAACATAATACTACTCGTAATACACATACTCAAATAGGGGTTTGGATATTCCAAGTTCACGCAATTACAAACACATGAAACCAACACAAATAACTTTGTTGCATTGCTTTAGTAAAATATTGTACGACTGAGTTACGATATTGTATAATTGGGTTAACAATCACCTTGAAATTGGGTTAATAGTCAAAAGCGTGATTCTATCTAGAAGCGAAAAAGGGATAAAATCGTAAACCGTAGAATCAAAGTGTAAAAGCGTAAGTTTTTGAAGCATGCTGGAAACTAGGTAAAAATATATTAAGTACGACATATACTATGCAAAATATGAGTGCACCGAATTTAGATAATTTAATAAATACCTGCAATCCATGTCTAAAGTAGAGCACCTCGTAACATCCTAACAATAAGTTCACAAACAACGATCTTAACGATAAGCCACCTTCCCCTCTATGCTAATGAATTTGGGAAGGGCCTAGCTAGTGAATTAGATTACTCTATTTGAAGCTAAGAATGCATCGAAGTGCCTGGTAGTCTGGTACGTATCTCTTAATCTCAAATGTTACGTATTGTTGGTGATTCACCTTTAAAATATACTTTTTTATAATTAATTTCACGAATAGAATACCTATTTAGTGAACTAGAAGCGTAAAAGCGTAAAGCGTGTTGGTGAACTAGAAACGTAAAAGCATAAACTTTTAAGCTTTAAAGGCGCAATTCAGTCTGATTTTATACACTAAAGATTTTATATGGAAACGAAAGCGTTTTAGTGACCTAGAAGCGTACATAAGTTTTTTAAGTTGTAAAACGCGATTTTAACTGCATTGAGCTCGATAATATTTGTTTTGAACACTTCCTTCATCCAAATTATCAATCATCCCAAGTAATAATGTTAGTTAATGATATTCATTAGCAAGTGTTAATCAGTGAGGTGGTGGTTTGCAGGATGTTTACGAATTTTTTGAGATTGAGAACTGAGAGGATCCTGTCCTCCATGTCAGAACGCTTAATAAGCTCAGCTTCACTGTTACCAGCAAATGCGAGCAAGCGCCAATGTGGTCCCCCCGTTCGGTGTCACCAGCGACCACGTGCCGTCCCACCGATTGGATTGGATTTGCAAAAGCTACTTAACTTACTTTACAACGACGCTCAACTTGTGCTCTCCAGGAGCATTAAATAAATAAATGAAAGGAAACAAATTACTCCAACCCTAATTTGTCTTAGTGGATCAGCCATTGCCATTTCCATTTCCAGCCTCTGTGCCCTGCCTTCTCTCTCCCTCGGCTCCCCGATTTCAGGTACGCCGCTCTCTCTCTCTCTCTGCTTGCCCTTCCTTTTTCCTGCAGCTGCTCGCTACCTCCAGCAGCTGAGCAGCAGGCCCGTGGAACGGAATCTGATTTCAAATTTCACCCACCTAACCTTGTTCGTTTTCTCGTTCGTTTTTGTGGGTTCCGGCAGAACTCTGTAGATTTCAGAAGGAGGGGGGGGAGAGAGAGGAAGAGCCAGAGTGATTGGTAGAAATTAGAAATACTGAATAGGATAAATGAGGGTCAAGGTCGGAATAAGGAATTTTTTTTTGAGTTAGATCGGGAAATCAACATTATGTATGTATATGAAGGTTTTGGTAAATCTCGTCGATGGAGATAGATATTTCAAATTTGTTCGAGGAATAAATTTGGAATCAGATTCAAATTCATGAGTTCCACAGTCATATTGCTTGATCATAGGTACGTGTTGGATCTAGGCAAGTAACTACCAACCCTAGTACAAAGAATGAACAATGGTGTTGGGTCTCACTCTTGGCTTGGATAATTTTTAAGTAGGATTAAAATAAAATACTTGTTATACACATGTTCTATGGAAATCAAGATGTTTTCTTAGACTTTTTCGTGATTGAGTATATCGGACAGTAAGTGTAATGGTATCAAGCAATATGACTGTGATTCAACTGATAGCATAGAGAAGAAATACCATTGTTCAAATAAAGCAATATATTCAAATGATATGATACGGATATACGCAGTACTGTCAAAAAATGATTGGTATTACCCGGAATCGCCAATTTATCATATAACAATATTTATTATTTTAATAAATTAGTGTACCATACAAGTTTCAATAGCAGCACACGAGTTTTACTGTCTATCCTACGATATAATAATCCTTCCTTACAAAAATATAAGTGAGATGTATACGATAGAAAATTCTTGATATCCTTGTTATTATTCATAACAAAACTACAAAAGCTACATAATTTTCATTTACATATCTCTGTGTTATGAAGAAAGCAAATGATTTGAGCTTACAACCTTGTGCATGTGACACTTGTAAGTAATCTAAGAATGATAATTTTTCAGGATTAAAATAATTTTTAGAGCCGGATTAATACCGTGCGAGGAACCAGCCCAATCTGAGCCACTTTTAGTATATGGATTAAACCTAGCATTTATTCCGTCGTTAGACTTTCGTAATTACTAACAACCTTTTTACTAAAGTTGCAATACTCAATTATCAAATTTTAATTTGCCTCCTCATTAATAAAAAAAATTATCAAATTTTAATAGAAATCTGAAATTCAAATACAATAAATTGAAGAACCAATAAGGAAAAATAAAACTATACAAACGGCACGGGGAGCACGCGGCTGGATCTGATTGGTCCAGCCCTCCAAGAATCGTACGGACGCACAAGGTGACGTGTCCTCCTCTAAAGCTGTACGGACGCGATCCCATTGGTTCGTCAAGCCCTTACTTACCCATCACTCACGTTGCTGTGGTTCAGAGTTTTCGTGCAACCAAACCATTTTTGTCTGTCCGCGCCCAGCCAAGAGGTTAATAAAAATTAAAATCCCCAGAACCAAAAAAGGAAAAGGAGTGCAAAAGTAAAAAAATTAAAAAAAAAAGGAAAGTTAAAAAATACCCCCGGCGGGCAGGCTGTCCGGGAGTCACTGGCAACCGACAGGAATGTTGTGTGTTTAAAAACCTCATACGCGTCGCTCCTCCACCGCGCAACCGCAATCCGCCGCTCCCCCGCCGCGCTGGATCCCGACGCTTTGGACACGCGTCGGTCAGCCTCCACCGTCGAGCCCGGCACCGGCGTACGTGTCAATTCGCAAGTGGGGCAGGCGTGAACTCAGAAACAGAGAAAAACCAGTATTTAAATCGACAATTGTGTTTTTTTATATAAAAGGCCACCAAGAAAAGAGAGAGAGAGAGAGAGACCAATAATGGCGCTGGCGCTGTGGCGCATCACATGGTTATGCGCCTTCTCTCAGTGGGGCGTTTTTGTTTTCTCCTTCTTCCTCTATCTTTGCTTTTTATGGGAGGTGCTTGTTTTTCACTTCCCTCAGATTACCAAAAAAAGAAAGAGATTAGGTTCTTCCTTTAAAACTCCTCTCCTTACTCTTCCTTCTTCCCCTATCTTTGCTTTTGGCTGCTTCCAAGTTCCTCCACCCATCCCTTCCTTTCTCTTCTATGGTTGAAATTTTATTTTGTTTTGTTTTATTATTATTATTCTCTTTTTGGTATAATTGATTAATTTCTACTACTAAGGTAGGGTTATAGCTCCCCACTTCATCCAAACCACAGCTAAATAGGGCACTTGGTTGATTCATTATCCAGCAGAAAGAAGAAGGAACAAACAGCTCCCTAGCTAGGGTTTGCTTCTTACATCTTCTCCATCTGCATTTCTATCCACCGTCTGGATTTTGTTCTATTTCGGAAGCTTTTTTTTTTTTTCCTGGGTAGTTCTATTTCTGCTTTGACTATAGAGTGTAGAAATTTTTCTTCATTTGGGGGTTTTGGTGAGATTTTCTTTTATTCGCTTTCTATTTTTGGGGAAAAAATCTCCGATCTTTTGATGCTCCATTTTGTGGGTTAATTTGTTTGTTTGTGTTTTTCTGGTCCGCTCCACCTGTTGGCTTTTTTCTTGACTTAGCTGATTTGGGTCTTCTGCTGTTTTTGGGCTCTGAGATTTTAGACTCTCCGACTGTGCAGCTCAGGTGATCGACGAAAAGCCTGACAGAGAGCGAGAGTAGGGGAAGGGGCTGAAACAAGAAGAAACTAAAGCTAAAAGGAAAGAGAAATCAAGTAACAATGGTGAGAGGGAAGACCCAGATGAAGAGAATAGAGAATGCGACCAGCAGGCAAGTGACCTTCTCAAAGAGAAGGAATGGGCTGCTGAAGAAGGCGTTTGAGCTCTCTGTTCTCTGCGATGCTGAAGTCGCACTTATTGTTTTCTCCCCAAGAGGCAAGCTTTATGAGTTCTCCAGCTCTAGGTACTCGCCCTCGCCCTCGCTCTTTCTCTACTCCTCTTCCTCATCATCATTACTTACTTTCCTATCCTTCCTCCTCGTGCTTTTCTGTCCCACTTTTTTTGGTGGTGTATTTGTATTGCTTGTGTATGGCAAGTACATGTAGCAGAAACTTGACAGTTTCAATTTATGGTGGAGAAAGATGGATCAATATGTCTACTAATATAAGCCAGGCGGCCAGCAGCCAGTGCTGGTGTCTCAGGCTTTTTCTCTGCCATAAACTAAAGGGTCGTCCTTTCCCCTCCTTTTCTCGTGCCATTTCTCACATTAGTTTTGCTAATGTTAAGTTAACCTAATAGAGAGATCATTCATTTATTCCCTACCCCTTTTCTCATCTCATCTCTCCCAAATCGTCCTTTCATGGTCGGAGCTCTCCATGGTTTAATGGTGTTTGTCGGAATATTAGAGTCGTTTATACCATAGATGGGGATTTCATCTCGACCATATATACTGCTTTCTCTACTTGGGTCCATTGGCAGAAAGAGAGAGAGGGAAAGGTAGTAAAACGGATGAAATACTCGATTTGGTATATTCCAGGAATCATGTTTCTTTATATAGCCTATTTCCTGGTAACCTCCCTTAATGTTTTTGCTACACATCAATAGCAATATCTCACTGTTGTTGCCAGTGATGAAAGTAGCTCCAATAAGGCCCTTTTGGTAGCTGTTAATATTTGCAACAACAAAATGGCACAAAGAATTAGAAGGTCAAATTTCGAAGAAAAATATAAGGGTAAGAAAGAAGTAGATAAGAAAGAGAATAATTTGGAATTTAGCTTGGTCCTCCCATAGATGTGGGATAGAGAGGAGACTACAGACTAGTAGAGTATTTGGTTCTTGAAATTGTGGGTTCCCCAGCCTCAGCTGCTTCCTCTCCTTATGTACTTTTACTATTACTCCAATATGCCATGTGATTTCTTACTTCCTTTGTGTCTGTTACTATTGTGGAAGTCCTTCTCTTATGAAAATATCTGGTATGATTTTTTCCTTGGCTGTAGGAAGGCTTTTTTGTTGTTGTGTTAGAACTTAGAATGCTGTCTCCAAGGTGAACAGTGAACACCATTGACCATTGTATTGTGCATGTGTTGTGTATTGTATAATGTATTGTTTGAGGGGAAAGACCTTTCTTTTCTCCTTTGTTCTTGATTTTAGTGTAGGAGTATGACTAACTGTAAGGTGGTAGTGGTTTGATTTCCGAGCTGCCACCAGTAGCTGCCACCACTGCAGGTAAAGAGGGCTACATATTTCTGCTTTGGGCTGCTTGGTTGGGCACTCCTCACTGTCACTTGAATGCATGTCAGATTCTTGTTTCCTTTTGGGCAATAATTTTGTTTATTTGGTCCACCTAGCTAGGGATAGAAAGTTCCCAAATATTTTTGGCATGTGATAATTGATTGAAAAAATTGATTTCGCATATTCCTCCTTATGTCATGATAGTTGAAATATGATTAGTCAACATTCAACAACAATCATCTGTAAAAGATATTTGATGAGCAATTTGTGTTATTCTTGATTTTAGAATGGAGGATATTAAGATATGAGTTCAGCATGGGTTGAATATTCACATCATATATATTATTCATCTTTTAACTTTTTCAGAAGAACAAAAATAAACTGAGTGATCAAACCCCTCAATTGAATTGTAGTTTCTCGAAATGTAGAATCTTATCTTGTCATGCATAACTTAATTTGGATGTTGTTAAACAACTCCATTAGAATTCTTTCATTATCGATAATAATTCGCGTTGCTCTTTTAGGATGGTGAAGCCATTAGATTCTATTGCTGCTATTGAGAATCGATCTCCTCCTAATGCACACAGTAATGGAAGATATTTAGATTGAAACTGACTTCGATGGTTGTGTGCTTACCTGTCTTAATCAAAAGCAGCTAATTAACTAACTTAGTTTACATCGTCCTTAGCAATGTAATCAATGGGCGCTATGCTTTAATTATTACACAAAATTTGGGTCTTCGTGCTTTCTTCAGCACTTTAGCTTTTGAAACGAACTTTAAGCAGATGCACCAAATAACTTTTTGCTGCTGGGTATCAATCTCTGAAGAACACGGACTATAGCAATTTGATTTGATTTACTATGTGTCAGATAGCCGTACTATATATGCATATGGCTTGAAATGGAAAAGCTAGCTTCGGCGTAACTGCAAAGATGTGCTGTCGATGTTGTAGAAAGTGTGAGCATCAGTACCACATTGTATACATTAATAATATGATGATCATAGGAAAACAATTGAAGTGTTAATCTAATTACAAAGAGCATAGATATAAATATTCAGTTTATTATTAGATTTTTTGGGTGTAGTAGTGAAAATATTCGATCTGGATCGCGCATCTCATAATTATCATTAATAGTAAATAACACTACTCGTAACTTGTAAAGAATACTTATATATTAGACATTGTGCTTGGAGTGACTTGTGCAATATCTATTACTCCCTCTGCATTATCCAAATAACTATAATTTCAACAAGGCTATTTTTGTATATATATGATATTGTTTTTTTTCCAGATTTCAAACCTTATCTCATATATCATTACTCCACAGGAAAACCTTTTTCAAATGTCTCTAGAGATAGTGGCGAATACTATTTCTAGCATGCATGAAACGTGCATGAATTATTGGATAGTGCATTTCCAATATTCTATCAACTTGCAAGATCTACTTATTGATGTGACTAGTATTTTGCATCTGATCATCAGAATTAGAGCTATAATATAATTTTGGCATTTTGTTAGACTTATAAAAAATGACATTGCAGTGCTTCTTAATAATTTTTTTTTTACAGTGGGTGACAAAAGGATCCTTGTTCCTTGAGGATATTTTTGCATAAACTTGGAAGTTGGGAACGAGGATGAACAGTTGAGATTCTCCTTGTAAAGCAAAATCCATTGCTTAAAAACACGTTTGTTTGTATGGAAAACCACACCTCCATTAAGATAGTAGTTACTAGAATCTCATGGAAACTTCACTTCTACCCTCGAATGTATTTTCTAAGCTGTCTTGCATGCACACATTTCAAGCACAATTTGAGTTCACTTGTTTGATTAGTTTTGTTCAAAGTGGCAATTTAAAAATTACAAGATTAGTTCAAAAGATAGGTCTCAGGATTGCAGATGGCCTTTGCTTCTAGGTGAATGAATGACTAAAATGAGAGACTGTGGATTAAGGCTGGTCAAGAACTTCGGTTCTACTTAGACAATGATGAGGTTCTCTATTGGGTAATTGGGTTTCCTGGATGCATGGCTAAATGTGATTCCTTTTCATGGATCTTTTTGGGGTTCTTAGGAAGGCTACATATTTTGTATGAGAGGATCCTTAATTTTCACCATTTAGTTTCATTCATTATGTTGTTATATGTCTGTGTAAGTATAGCTCCCATAATTTAGGTTGAAAACTTCTCGTTTTGGTTGCTAAATTTATGATATAAAGACAGAAAACAGAAAACGAAAATGAAAGTGAACAGTGCATTAAGCAGCAGGGTTTCTTGCTGCCGGATCATGTATTTTTATGGAACTTGAAGGATCTGTTGGACATCTACAACTGCAAAACTTGCAGCTGTCTGTTGGATAACAGAAGGAGTACAATGGCATTCTTAGAAATGACAGGAAAGGGGGATGCATGATCGATCAAGATTTTCTCCTATTTACATTTTTTCTTTGAATATTTTCTATGCTATTATTGGAGGAGGACAAGAAGCATATATACTAATTTGGCTAAACTTATATATAGCCTATTGTTTTTTTTCCCCTTCTTTTTGCCATATATATAGCCGCCTGCTGTTTACTTCATATAAATTTGAATACTTAGAGCTGAATTAGCAATAATATACGGTTCACCGCTGAAGAGTTTGTCTGAATGGGTTGGTATACTATCAACGAGTCACTAATGTAGGTACATTGTTTTTTCTTGCCTTTCAGTATCAGCAAAACAATAGAGCGATATGAGAAGAAGCAAAAGGACAGTGGACCTGGGAGCAAGGGCTTTGAAGACTGCACACAGGTAATCAAACTAAGTTACCATACTTTGGAAGTTGGGGGTTTGCTAATGTCTTTGCCTTTTGTTAATCTGTGTGTGCATGTACAGAATGACGACAGCTTCAGCATGGGAAAGAAGATAGAGCAACTCGAAGTTTCAAAGAGGTGATCGAGCAGCTAGAAGCTGCATGCCCTAAGTAGTTACTATTGGTCTGCGTAAACTATTGGGAAATCGTTGATTCCTTTTCCTATTGGCAGAAAGTTGATGGGAGAATGTCTGGAGACATGTTCCATTGACGAGCTCAGAAAGTTAGAGTGCCAGCTTGACAGAAGTTTGAGCAGAATCAGAGCAAGAAAGGTACGTGTATAGAAGTCTGACATTCTTCAACGATGCATATGGTCTATGTTTGTTATCTACACATGCATGCCGATTGGGGTTTGATCAACTAAGCATTACAAATCATTTGATGCCCTTTTTTCCATTTTGGGCTCTCCAAATTACCCTTTTCAGACCCAGCTGTTTTTGGACCAGATTGAGAGGCTAAGGCAAGAGGTAATTGAAGAACTATATTAGTTCTCAATCCTTTTTACTCTTAATAGTAGCACAATTATCCAAATACTGAAATCAATCTGTATTAACATTTCCAGGAGAAGACCCTAATGGAAGAAAACAGAAAGCTGCGGGAGAAGGTACGTACATATTGTAACATTTCCCCTACTTCTTAGCCCCTTCAGTTCTGTGGAACAAACATACTTCAAGAAAGAAGAAAAAATGGAACATGATAGTTGTACTTGCTTGAACTATATATATAGAGAGAGTAAAATAACTGAATTACCTGTGTGAATTAAATGAAAGGTTGTATGAAAATTGGTTATTTGACTTGAAGAACTATCATCGTAAATCTGCTTTACTTTTGAACCATACTACCCTTCCAGTGTGGACTGGAACCATGGAGATTCTCATCGAGCAACAAGAAGCAGCAACTACTAGACAAGACAATCGTAGCAGAAGCAGAAGCTGCAGCTGGAGAAGAAGAGGAGGAAGAAGAAGAAGAAGGGAGAGGAAGCAGTATTGATGATGTGGAGACAGAGCTGTACATAGGGCCAGCACCAGACAGAAGAGCAGCAACCAAAACTACTACATGCCTTCCTCCTCCTACACACTACTAGAGTCAGTACTCCTCCAAAACATCACTATAGAAACATATGATGATCTCGAATCAAAAAGACATTAACATTATCATCCCATGTTGTCCTTAATTGGGTTTTCTCCCACTTTCCCTATGTTTCCATTTTCCTCCCAATAAAAAAACATTCTGTCCCCTCATCACTATAGTTACACAGAGGCAAAGTTGCTAAACCAAAGCAAGTGTTTGGGCGGTGTAACTTGTAAGTGATCAGTGCTAGGTGACTGTATAAGACCACTGATCACCACCATTTGTATCTGAGTGAGAAAGGTGTTGTTTTTATGTATATCCATGGTTGTTGGACATATATATATCTGTATTTCTTTAATCACAGTTAAGCCTGTGATATGTCGTTGTAACATACATTTATTTTTCTCAGATATAAGTACTTATTGTTTGGGGTCAAATTGCATGTTGGGAGAAAGAGACTTGAGTAGAAGTTGAATGAAGAGGTTCATACTTCATTTTGAAGTCTACTAATATTGCTGCCTTGTTGGTGATACTGATATAGATTCTGTTTTCAATTAGGTGTTCCTTAACGGTTTGAATCTGAGGCCTCCCTTGTCCTCGTGAAATATGTTACAGTTCTTTGGGTGAATTTAACTATGGACTTATGTTGTAGCTAAGCCTTATTTTCTTTCTGCTTCTTTTATAAGTTAAGTTGACACTTGGTTTTTTTTCTTTGATCGAATTAGTAGTTCGTATTATAGCTCAAACTAAGGTGCATGCATGCCCAAAGGACAGAGTTTTACATCAGAGAAACTCCTCTACAAATGCAAGTACCAATATAAACTGCATGCACAAAAGTAGTAAACCAGGGATCTTACGTACTCAGCCAAAATGTGTTTGCTGTAAGTCTGCCTCCATCTCAGCTCGTGCCAATGAGTATATATTCAAACATATAATATAAGTGACTAAACCACATGGTGTCTGATGTCGCAAACATCAAACCTGAGTTTTGTTTGGTAAGTAAGCTAAAATTATCTTGCTATCTTGTCTCAAATCTCAATGTAGAAACATATGCAGTTTGGAGACTTTTGTTTGCCGGTCCTCTAATGGGCCCTAATCTTAATTCTCTTTCGGAACTTTACAGTTGGGCCGAGTGTAACTTGGTCTTATTTGCTTTGGGCTTATTCATTTGAAACTAGAATCCGCTAAGCCTAAACATTGTCCTCCAATCTGAATCAAAATTTACAGCTTTTGGGTCTCGGAAATGCCGTTAAGATTTGGTAAATAAGTTTTCTGCCTCACTTACTCTGTATTTCAGTATTTTACATTGATACATTAGCACTTTTACAAAAATATCATTAACCTTGTCTGATTTAGTGGCAGATTGATCAAATCTAGACTGATTCTTATCCATTATTTAATATGCTCGGTACTTTCGTAGCGGAAAATCATTTTGTTGATTGACTTCTCACTTTCAGCATGAACTGGGAACTGGGGCAAGAGAAGAATGTTGACATGTACATTAGAAAAGAAGTACTACTAGAGTTTGATTATAGTGACATATACAGCAGAGAATTTGAAACGTCTTTTTAACTACGTACTAACTAAGCACATGATATGTTTCCTATTCATACATACATACATACATACATACATACCAAGTTGCATGCGGTGTCTTGTTGTCCGATTCAGGAGTGTTTTGCTCGTGCAGGAATCAGGCTTCCTGAAAGTAAATAGTGTCGGCCGCCTTTCTGGTTCCATCCCTTCCCTGCCGACCAGACCAGGGATTTAGGGTAACAGACAATTAGGGCGAGATTAATTACAAGATTATCAAACTAGATAATCCTTCCTTACCAGGATCCCAAATCGCTATTCCTCGAATAACGTTTTTCATAGATGTGGGCTTTTTAGTTATGTTGAGATCTTCGCCGTCTACTTATAGTTTGGCGATATTTGAATTGATAATTTTATATATTGTGATCAATAGATATAGTACTTTAATTACTAGCATTGATATGTTTTAGTTTATGTTGTTTGATTATTGTGATTATTTTTTTCGTATTTAAATAAATTATATTACATTTTGAATTACAAATACAATATTCATAATCAAAGCAAAATACTCGAAATAAGAACCGTGTAGTATTTTATATATGGTCCTTGGTCTATGCTACATCTTCTTGGTATATATGGACTCGTTCCACAACATTTTCTAGCCCTACTTATTTTGGACAAGGTGGCTTGGGAGGTTTGTCGGATGTCCTCAAAGGAACGACTTGGGAGGTTTGGAGGTGAATATTAATTAAGATGTTTTGGGGTTCAAGTTAGTGGGCAACAAAGTTGGCAAGGAGTAATTAATACATACGGGACGAGTACAAGTTTGATTTCGGGGGCGGATTGTGTGAAATTCATACCATACTCATAAGTCATATCCCGTTATTTTATAATTAAATTACCGATACTCAACAAAAAACAAGAAACTCAAATTTTATTCGAATTAACCGGTTCGAATAACCAATCTCTTAATTAGTTTTGCCAACTCTACTTCGGCCCCCTTCTCTTACCCCATAAAATTTTTAATCCCTATTTGTCCAAACTCAAACGGAGGTGCTGCTGAGTGCTCACTTGCAAGTTGCGATCTTATTTACCCAAACCCTTCACCGTGACCTTATCAACCAATCACTGTAAAAAAGAAAAGTTGCTCGCTGTAATCTTTCCTCGTACCCCTCTCACAAAATCCACTTGTTAAAAACCCAGACTGTACACGTGCCACAATGACGACGTGGCCGGGAAACCGTCCTTCCACGTGCTCAATATCCCCAGTCCCCGCACCGAGAAAGTCTGGCAGCTCCAAGCAACCGCCCCTACCCCACAACCCTCCAGTTTTACAATCAGGCTTAAATCTCTCCCAAAATTCCTCCCTGTGGTACTTTTTCTTTCTGTTGTTCAAACTTGCAAGAAACCCAATCTCAAGACCCATCAATTTCTTCCGAATTGCCAAGAATCCAAGCAAAGCAAAAGAGAAAAAGAGGAAGGAGCCCCCAAAGCAATAACCCACCTAAGTTTGAAGCTTTCTGCCCACTACAACTCTTCCCTTGTGTTTGTCAAGCTTCCAAGTTCCCATCTTTATCTGACCTGCTATAATTGGGAAAGCTTGAAGAAGAGAGAGAAGGAAGTCCTCAGAAATTGGAGGATCAAGAGAGAGATCAGAGATCAGAGATGGGTAGTTTGACTCTGTCTCCATGGCTTCCTTCACAGCTCAAGCCCACTGTGTTTGAGCAGAAGGATATGTCTCTTTTCCCCTCTAGGAGGAAACTCAAGAGCAGCATGAATAACAAGAGATTCTCTGTTTCCAGCCCTGTAAGTTGCCTTGTCTCTCTTCCTAATTTCTGATTTGGCGCTTCTCCTAATCTCTAGTTGAAGAACCTGTGAATTCTGATTATGGGGTTTTGAACAAACCAGGTGGCTAGGCTGTTTGGGCCATCAATCTTTGAAGCATCAAAGCTGAAGGTGTTGTTTTTAGGGGTTGATGAGAAGAAGCATCCAGGCAAGTTGCCCAGGACGTATACACTCACCCACAGTGATATCACCTCCAAGCTCACTTTGGCCATCTCTCAGTCCATAAACAACTCCCAGCTTCAAGGATGGGCCAACAAGCTGTACAGAGATGAAGTGGTGGCCGAGTGGAAGAAGGTGAAAGGGAAGATGTCACTCCATGTTCACTGCCACATCAGTGGTGGCCATTTCTTACTTGATCTCTTTGCTAGGCTCAGATATTTCATCTTCTGCAAAGAACTACCCGTGGTAAAGATTCTGTCAAAACCCACAAGCCAAATTTTGGGAAAGAGTCGATCTTTCTGCTTCATGAGATGTCAATCAGTGAAAGTCATCGTTTTTGGCAGGTGCTCAAGGCCTTTGTTCATGGAGATGGGAATCTGTTGAACCACCACCCGGAATTACAGGAGGCGCTGGTGTGGGTTTACTTTCACTCCACAATTCCAGAATTCAACAAGGTGGAGTGCTGGGGCCCGCTCATGGATGCTGCAGCACCTTCTTCAAAGAAGGGTGGTGGGACTAAGGTAGGCCCGGAGGTGGATGGAGAAGAGAAGGGACAGTCATCAAGCAATTGGGGGTTGCCAGAGCCATGCCAAGAAGACTGCAGCTGTTGTTTTCCACCCATCAGCATGATCCCATGGTCTAAAAACTTTCCCTTTGCTTCTCAAACTCAACAACCTGGGGATTCCAAGAGAGCGACCCAGGAGGGCTTGCATCAGCCCCCCGTCTAGCATCAACCCTTTAGAGAAAATCTTTGTTTTCCATGGTGAAACTCCAATGCATTTGATTCGTCTGTGTGTCACACTTGTAAATAAGGAAATTCGCGTGCGAATCAGAATCTGTCGACCCAACCCGACCCTCCGTAATATTGTAGCGGAAAGGGTGGGGGATGTTGATCAATCTTTTCACCCAGTAGCTGGGTTTTTTTTTTTTTGGGTTTCATGACTCCATGTTGGAGTACAAGGTAACAAGAAGTTCTACTGTGTGTCCCAATTGATAGGATACTATAATATAATGGACTCTCTCAAGCTTTGTATAGTAGTTTCTACAAGTGATCAAGAGTATCCACGACCACGAGTTGTTCTGAAGACAGGTGCAGACTCAAAAGCTTCCGCAGTGGGAATGATGATTTTATATATATATACAAAAACGGCCAAGAATCCAGTAATTGGTGGGGAGATTCTTTGGCTTGATATACATTGGGGACTGTCAATAATGTCGGTGTACAAAAATTGACAGCATGATCAAACTGTACATCTATTAAACAGGGGGGATGCTAGTGACAAACCGGAAGTCACTGCAGCAGAATAATTAGCCTCTTCTCTACAAACACTTCACATGACTTCACGTGGAAAGTAAGAAACGTGAAGTCACCGAATAGTTGTTCTTCCAAAGGATGATGCTCCAATCTCACTGTCGGTGTTCTGTAAAGCCATAAACGTTGCACTGTGTTATTCTTGGTCTCCTTGCAAACGGATTGGTCCATGGTAAGATGAATATCGTTAATCAACTCAATAGAGGCTGTACCTGGGATTTAGGGGAAGGGAACACATTCCAGAACCGAAGTGTTTCGTCTCCCGCGCCAGTAACGATTGTCTGTGACAGGGACCATTATATCACTCAATGGAAACTTAACTCCATGAGACATGATAACTGGGAGTAGTGCACAATTGGAAACATTAGGTATGGTTGGAGAGTTACCTGTCCATCCGGTGAAATGGCAAGATAGAGGACTCTGTATGTATGACCCGTGAGTGTTGCCAACTGCATCAGTCGAATAAGCATTTTAAGAATGAACGGGATGAACATTCATCAATGAGTGGAAGGGGAACTAGGTGTAACTTCTGTACCTTTGACATCGTTGGATATCTCCATACTATTATTTGGTTTTGGGAGTATCCATGAGTGCTCACGAGTTCATTCACATTCTTAGACCATACAAGATTGCAGACCTGCCCAACGTAGTACACAACAGGTATACTGAGTATAAGAACTAATTTGGTCTCTTAACTATTCTTCTAAACTCTTATGAAAGTTCAGGGATGCATGTAAAGCATAAATCTTACCTGACTACCAGTGTCCATACAGCTCAGGTGTGAATTAGTGGTTGTGTTCCAGAATCGTATGCACCGATCGGCAGTACCACCACCAGAAGCAAGGAGACCGTGAAGATGAGGAGACCAAGCTATTGCTTTTACAGCTGCTGTATGCTCACAGTATTTTAGTACTGGCTGAGTCGAATGTTGGTTCCAAACAAAAAGCTGCCCAGAAGGATCTCAAGAAAGTTAGGCCTCTGCCCAGGAAAAAGGATGGATATGACAAAGTAAATAAAATAGACATTTGAAGGAGACAAATCATCTTACCCTATTATCGTTTCCACCTGACGCCAACTGACGGTTGTCATATGACCACTTTAGCCCACAGACCTGAAAAATATTTACTTCAGTATAGGATACAACCAATGAGCACAATGTTGAATAGAAGATAACTTCATAAGGCTATGGCATCAGTAAGAGACAAACCTCGGATTTATGACCGGAGAGTTTACTAACAAAGTCTTCAGGAGAGCGTATATCGCGTTGCAGTATACTCTTATCACGACTACCGGAAGACAGCACAGATGAACTCCAAGCTAACGCGCCAACACGCAATCGATGGCCCTCCATGTTCCTAATTTTCTTGCAACGAGATGCATCCCAAATCTGAAAATGAAGATTAACTTTAGCATCAATGACAATCCAAGTAGGTTAGCCACCCGAAAATGCTAGACCATAAACTTCCTCAACATGTTCCTTTGGCTCACAGTTTATCCCCAGAGAAAAGAGGAAATTAGAAAGAGGCTAGCAAGTTTAAACTCTTTCTACTTCCAGCAGCTGAGCACCTCTTATCAGACAGACAACTAGTGTCTTATTCTGCAACCTCAAAGCTGAAGTTGCAGTGTTCTACAACATTGGGCTGGTAGCCTGAATTAGTGCCTTAGCACGTTTGCTAAACTATAGCAGACAAAGTTATCGGACCTCAGGATAATCATCAGCCTCACCCTAGGTTATTTTGTGTCAGAACACCACACTAGTAAGGAAGTTGAATAATTTGCCACGGACATGCATAAACAAAAAGAAGGAATAAACTCGAGGGTAGCAAGCTTTGAGCAAATCTAGAGGCCTTATTCAAATTCTTTGATCCACTAGATATATGATAACATCACACTACTCGGTACTAACAGGTGAAAGAACATCAGAAGAACACGATCATTGGTCAAATAGCTAAGATTACAGCTCTATTTCTTACCTACCTGACTTTGTTTCCCAATGCAAGTTACAGTATGGTTACAAGTAACTACATAATCATATCGATCGATAAAAAGGCAAGCTTTAATCATAACTAACCTGGACTTTCCCATTAAACGTTCCAACAGCGAGATTATTCGTGCCACGCTGTGCCCACCCTACTGAGCAAACACTGTCATCAATTCCTAAATCACACAACTTTGTTACCTGCATTTCGCCAATTGTCACCACTCAATTAAATCCCTGACCCGATTCAAATTGACAGTTTCATATATAATCTCCCTGCTACAGACCACTTAAAAGTTCACATCTTTACCTTACTGCTGCAAGCGTTCCACAAATACACACAATTTCCCAACCCAACCGCTAGCACATTCTGCGAGGACCAGTCCACTAAGTTCAAATAAAAATCATCTTGCAATGCAGGCGCATCCAAAACCTGAAATTCCAACCAGAATCATCATAAGCCAAGCCAAGCTATATGTAAAACAACAATAAAGCTTTGAGCTTCTAACAGATGCCCAATAATAACAACCAATATTTGGGACATTACCTTGTAAGGCGATCTGGGCACCTTTCTTGGAGCCTTGACGGGGCTCTGGCTAACTCCAGGCCCTTCATCATCAAACCCATATGGGGAAAACGACTGCATGGGCTGCCTCGTCTCAGTTCTGTACCGGAAGATATTCCGCCCCGGGATTTCCCTCTTATCTGGCGTATTGGTGCCGAAGAGCGCATCCCGGAGAAGTGCAGCGTAAGCACTGGGGGATTCTTCCTTCCCGCCATCATTCCCCCCTGGAGTAGAGACATTCGACCCCGCCGCCGCCGACGACGGCGAAGGGGTAGAGGGGATGTGGAAAAGCTCGAAGTTGGAACCGGATCTACTCGGAATGAATCTGTCGAAACAGATAGTCTTGGAAGGGGAGACGTAATGCTTGGAGTTAATTAGGCGCTTGACGTGCTCCGATGACGAAGACGAGAACGAAGGAATCGGAGCTAGGGTTTCGAGATTCAGGGACGGGCGTGGCATCGTGGAAGGGACATTGAGCTGCGCAGATGAGGAGGACGACGACGAAGGCGTCGGTGGCGTCGGCGAGGGAAATTGATGGTTGGTAAACGGCGAAAGATTCGAATCGCCCATGGCAGATTTGATACCAACGGCGTCGGCGAGCACAAATTAGTGAGAGATTGAGAGAGAGGGAGTGTGTAATGGCGAAACAAGAAGAAAGAGGCAGAGTTGGGAAAGGGCGGAAAGCAGAGGAATGACTAATGAGGGAGATGGAGAGTTAGTTAGGGTTCGGCTAGGCTGCGTGCGGGTACAGGGTAAAGTATTGTTGAATGGTAGAAGGAAGTTAGTTAACTTTCCCGGGAAAAAATTCCGCGAACCAAAAGGGTTCGGATTCCCAGCCGGACGAGGAGTGTCGTTTTACCGGCTGTTCGGTGTGAATTTGGAAGATTCGAGCGTTTGGGCTTTCGGTTAGATCCATACGGAAAGCCCATGACAATAAGACCCATATAGCAATCCAACCTTTAAAATGGTTGTACTTTTCCGAGGGAAAGAAACGTTTCCAACTTGCCTCGATGTCAAAACCAGAATACACACCAGAGAGCAGAGACCATATGCCTGAGAAATGCTCATTGCCTCACTGTTCACCCATGAATTACAAAAGAATATGATCACAAATTTGATAGAATGATCGGTCAAAAAACAAACAAACAGAAAAATAATTCACAGTTGTTTTCTTTCTTTCCTTCCTTTCCCCATCTTATTCAATCTCTGGAAGAAGAAGGATCGTTACGAGGGACGAACTCATGCTCAAGATTGGGAAGGGTTCTAGTACTACCAGCCACAGGAGTCCTCACATTTCCAACCACAGCAAACCGCAGATCTTCACCTTCAAACCCCCTTCTCTCCATCTGCTCAATCCTTCTTTTCTTCTTAGTCATCACACACAACGCCAGAATCAACGTCAACACAAGCAAAACTGCAGCCCCCACGATGGCCCCTATCATCACGTTTCGCTTCGTAGATTTGCCTCCACCACCTCCACCTGCTGCTGGAGCAGGAGCTGGTGGCTCCACTGGAGGCAGCTTCACCACCAACCCATAATGCCCGTCGGCTGCTGACTCACAGACTCCAGGAGAACTAGGAGGCTTCAAGCTCACCGTCCTATTCCTCTCAAATGTTGCACAAAAGGGATTGTTCTGAACAGTTGTAGCAGTGCTGCTGAAGCTGATGGTGATGAGGGGATTTCCTTGACCAGAGCGGATTCCAACCTCGAGAGGGTAGGTTGAATTGGGGTTATAGCTGCTGGAATTGTAATTGTAGACAGTAAGGCCTACAATTGGTGATACCAATTGGTAGCCAGAGAGGTCATAGTTTGATGAGTAGAGGGATGACCAATTCAGACCCAAGTTTTGTGTGATAACCATCACTCTCAGAAAGCATGGCTGGACTTTGATGCCGCGTTGTAGTCTGACTCCACCAAAACTGGTGCCGTACCGGCTCAGGCTGCCACACCGGAACCTTGCTGCATTGGCTGTGATCCCACCACCATCAGTGAGGTTAGCCGGGAGGTCGACATTGTAGATTTCCCCTGTTTTGATCCTTCTCGGGCTGCCAAGGGACTTGAACGTGTAGTCCCTAATGAGGAGATCCAGTTCCTCTGGTGATCTGACCATCTCTTGTGCTCTTGTTGACGTAGGTAGTGATGATAATGAGAGGAGAATTATGATGAAGGCGAAGAAGATGTATGAATCCGCCATTTGTAGCCCTTCAAAATGTGCTGCAATTTCACCACCGCCGACCCAATTCTGCGAAAGGGCAGATACACCGACATAAACATTTATCGCTTTGATGATTGCAAATGGAATAAAGGGTTCGTTTTTGTTTCTCTTCAAAGCCTCCAGCTTTATGAGCTGGAATCTGATTTCAGCTAGGGAAAAAAAGCACAAGAGGGAAAAAAGAAACGTTTCTTACCGTTGAATCGTTGTAGCCTTCTCCTAGCCATTTATCTACGGTCCGGCGCTTTCCCCCGTGAGAAGAAAAAAATCCTCCTCTGCTTTAGTTGGGTGGAATTGAAGTAAGCAACGGGTTGTTGCTGTTTCTGGGAAATGGACTCACCGAGTGACAACCGAGTCAAATGCAGCAGCAGCCGTTTTCCGTCGAGACCCAGCGCCGACGATTCCCCCAAATCTCCGAGTTCAGATCTATCTCCACCGTTCACGCTTCTTCCAACCAATTTCTTCGATGGCGACGGCGCCTTCTTCTGCCGCCGTCCGGTTTTCTCGCTCTACTACCCAGCAGCCAGCTGCCGCCGCTCTGCGATCTCGCTTTGGTCCGGTTCCTCGACGAGACGGCAGCCAGAGAATTCCTGGCTGCGGCTGTTGGGCTTTTCTCTTCTTTCCTTTCTGTGTTGACGAACAGCATAAAGGAAACCCTGCGAGTCTCTCTCCCTCTCTGCCGCAAAATCGTAAAATTCGGTTGGAGGAAGGTCAATTTTGGCTCACTCCTCAAATCCGAAGTTGCCTTGGATGAATTGTTTGTTTGATTCTTGTTTCTATATTTTTCCTCTCCACAAATCCGCCACTGGCTTTATCCTCTCTTGTTGCAGTGGGGGCGGAGTTCCTTGGTTTCATCCTCCGGCTAACTCGCTAAACTAATTGGAAAATATCTATTCCTCTCTCTCCCAAAACAAAAGTTAAAAAGCAAAAATTAAAATAGGCAAGCTTTTTGGCAGGGCACTCTGATGTAAAATTCGAAGATTTTAAAACCCGTGTATTTTAGAAAACATTAAGGTAAAATTTATGCAACATGTTTGGTTCGGAAGAATTAAGATAAAGGATTCTCTATAATTAGATGAATTATTAAATATTTTAGGGGTGAATTTGAAATGACGATCTCATGAATTTTCCTTCCAATCTATCACTACAAATCGATAAAGACCTCTAAGTAAATTGCTGGTTCTGGCTGGACAAGTACGGTTGGTATTATAAAATTTGTATAGTTGGACGAAAAAGTGTCTGAATTTTATAACGTGACAGCCGCTTGTTCTCATTCGAAACTTGGTCCCATTCATACTTATGAATAAATAAATAAACAACTTATGAAAATGTTGGTTTCCTTGTTAGGTATAATTAAGTAACAGCGGGGAAAGCTCCTCCAGCTTGGTGCGAGAGTAGGAATGCGTGCCACTTGTTTCTTCATTCTGCCAACGAAAAAGACAAACTTAATAATTTAGGTTCCCATAGGAAGCCTTTACTTTCTTCTTCTCATTTGGATTACTCTCCTATCTCATTAGTGAACCTCAATTACAAAAGTGATTACATCCCAAAATAATAGTAACAAATAAAATTGAAGTAGCTATTGAAGTAGCTAGCGAAAATCAAACATATGTCGACTGTGAAATTTGAGGTTTATTCAACAAAAAAACGATATTCTGAGGTTGGACCAACATACATTGTGGACGCGTAGGATTTTCACATTCAAACTGTCCTCTCCTTCCCATTTTCAATTCCTTCTGTTGAGGTACTTATAAACAAAGTTGATGCCCAAAGTTTGCCTCTTTTGCCAAACATAAAAAAGTACACGTGACATTTGGGCCTCCATATCTAAGAAATGAAAGAAATGAAGTAGCTCGCTTAAAAGGAGAGATTAGAAGTCCCAAATGAAGTAAGCAAAAGCGAAAAGTGCAATAACTCATACATACATCTCATAGACAAGTTCAAGGGGCTCATTGGAGTTTTTTTTTTTTTTTGGTGAAAATAGAATGCTCGAATTAAGGGAGAAGGGAGAAAGGAGAGGGGAAATTTGTTCGACCGAAGGGGAAAGGCTTCTACAAGCAAACTTATAGGAAGGGCCCACATAAACACAGGGGATTCATAAATGAAGTCACTCGATCGAACGAAGATCAGTGGATATAAGCAATAGCGGACCCAACATTTTTTGTACAGGTGTGTAGGTCGACCAAATAAAATAAATATATTAAATAATTAATTCATAAAGTTTATAAAGTTCTTAACTTTTACAATTAATCACGAAGACTTTTCATATTCTCAAATGTTTGTAATTATTATGGAGGTCACACGACATTGTTTTTCCCTTTGGTTTTTATTACGCCACTTTTTCGTTGAAATTCTAAACGGAACGTTTGAATATTGATATTATATGAGTGTGTTTGACTTTTCACTATATGTTGGAATCCAAGTACGAGCTGTTATTTTGGTGCAATGTATATATTATTATCCATATGTTAGATGGGATTTTATATAACTTATAGATGTATGAACAATATAATGAATTTTTAATATATCCAAGCTAAACCGATCGAACCATTAATCCTCAACCTGCTTGCTCGACCAGGATTGAAAATCTTGATATCTACATATTAAAGTAAATTTATCATAGCATAATAAAGGTGTGACAGTGACTAATACCGAAGGTGTGTCGGATGTACCAATTTAAATATTTTGTACCGGAAAAACACAGGCCTCTCACAAAAAATTTGGTCACACATAAGTAGAGGTCCACAGCCCCAGCTTCTTATGGATTCTTAAGCAGAGGTCCTTGTATCTGGCTTTGGAAACACGCCCATTAATAGTCTCGAGTCCTAGATACTTCCCAAGATCAGTAGTCAGGGGAATTCCTGCTCGGTCACTCAATTGCTGAGCTTTACGTCGCGGGATGTTGGAGGAGACAAGCATAGCTGATTTCGACAAGTTCACCTTATGCCCTGAACTTGTACAAAAATCCTCCAGGCATTGACGAATGACAGCAACCTAGCTGCTCTCCGCCTCTGTAAACAAAATTAGATCGTCTGCGAAAAATAAATGTGAGAGTTTAGGGCCATTAACAGAGATGGTAAGAGGTTTCCATTGTTTATCTGCGATGGCTTTTTCAATCCGATGGGCCAAACTCTCCATAGACAGGACGAAGAGATATGGCGAGAGAGGGTCACCTTGCCACACTCCGCTAGAGGGAGTAATCGGATCCGTGAGTCTTCCATTCCAGTTGATCCTCATACGGTTGTGCTCGACACAGTGCATAATACGACTCGTCCAGGTACTTGGGAGCCCAACCTCTCCTAGGGTGTCTCTTATGAAGTCCCACCTAAGCAGATCGTATGCCTTCTACAAATCAATTTTAATAACTAGCCCTCCCTTTCTTCCTTTTTTGACCGCAACAAGTGAAGCACTTCTTGGAGGATGAGGGCATTATCATTCGTCTGTCTCTTCAGAATAAAACCAATCTGGGTAGGGGCAATGAGCTTCGGCATCAAAGGCTTTAAAATGTTCGTGATGGCTTTTAATCCAACACCGTTGAGACATATTGGCCTTAACGGGACAGGAGTCTCCGACCGGTCTTTCTTAGGAATGTGAACAATGATGGAGTTCATCAAGCTCTCCGGAAAGGCTCTTGTTTCAAAAAAATCAGTAGCCCTATTAGTTAATGTCCGCCCCACAACTGTCCAAAATTTCTGATAAAAAATTGCTTGAAAACCATATGGGCGAGGGCCCGAAAATGGTTTCATACTGAAAATTTCTTTATGATAATCAGAAATAGAGAAGGGACGAAGTAAGTAAAGAAGATCATCCTGGGACAGGCGTGGGAAGCACTTCTTAGGCAACAGGTCAATATAAGGTTCAGTGTCTTGTTGATAGAGGCGCTTGTAGAAACTAAGAACCAGCTCCTCTAACTTATCAGGTTCATCAATCCAATCGCCATTGTCATCCTGCAGAGTGGTGATTTTGTTGCGCCTACCACGTCTAGTCGCCTGGTGGTGAAAATAAGATGTGTTCTGTTCACCAAGATGCACCCACTTCTCCTTAGCTCGTTGATACCATATCAATTCCTCTTGAGCTAGGAGAGTGTCAAGTTCAGTTTCCAGTTTAGCTTGAAGTTTCAGCAGTCCTGGATGGAAGTTGTCTGCAATTTTCTGCTGGATGCCCTGAATCCTAGCTAGCAGCCTTCTTTTGCGTCGGTGGATAATGCCAAACACTTTCTTATTCCACTTCTTCAATTTTTCAGCTACCTCAGCAAGTGTTTGCGGCAGATTTACAGCAGCATTCCAAGAATTGTTCAGGAATTCTGCAAATTTGTCATGTAGCAGCCAAGCTGCTTCGAAGCGAAAGGGTTTGTTCGGACTGAGAATACTAGCCCGTTGAAGACTCGACGTCAGTATATGAAGGTGGTCAGAGTGTAATTTGGCTAGCATCAATCACTTGGAGCTGGAAAATTGTTGGCTTTCCAAGCTAGTCAAATCTCGCCCTTGCGTCCCTCAGCATCGACTCAGATAACTTCATCAAAACCCAAGCTTTCGCAAACCGCATCCGCCTTGTCTCCACTGATCTGAGGTTCGAACAAAAGAAGGAATTGAGGATTGTAGCTCTGAATAAGCAATCAGATAGCTCTTTTGAACTCCTTGTTGCCTGCACCACACACATTCCATGATAATATTTTAATATTTAAACTATTAGACATAGGAAAAGGAGAGGGGTTTAAGGGAGGAAAAATCTCTGGGTTCATTGGGATGGGAGGGCAGGAGCTTGTTCATTCTGCGAATTTGTAACTCAAAATTTCAAGTTATGCTCTCATTAGGACCTTCTCTTTCTACTTAAATTTGTTTTGGATTCACATCTCCACGAAAGCACAAGTGATGCAACTAAAACGGTGCTACTCCCACGGTTTTGATCCCATTGACGTAGCAAGTGACGCAATCTTTGTTATCATTAAAGACCGATCTAATTATTTTAATATTTTATATTTACTACTTGTCGGGGAGTGATCCTATTTGAAATTCAACATTAATTTACTGTGTCTTAGATATTAATGGTCACTTCATATTTTATTTCTTTTTTTGACAAAAGATAATCATATATTGATTTAACAAAAGAAGATAGTTACATCCTGGATCGAAGCCAGACATGAAAATCAAACAATTAACAAGGAGCCGGGTACAAAGAAAGGGCCTTTCTAGCCACCGCATGGGCTACCCTATTGCTATCCCGATCTACGAATCGAATACTAAAACCCACATGATTTCCCAAACACTGCACAATCTCCTCCAGAACCACCCCAATCCTACTGTCCCTGGTCTCGGCTTGGTTAACTTTATCAATAATGATTTTGGCGTCGCCTTCAAACAAAACACTCTAGAGACTAAGGTGCACACACCAATAAAGAGCTTCTGCTACCAAGGATCATCAATCGAAGGGAATTGGCATCCTTGAGCCAAAAGAAGCTCGCGATGCGTATCAAGCAAAACCATCCCTGCACTCAAGTGAGACCCCGCCCGCGTAGCCCCATCCCACATACAAACCATCGAAGTATCAAATCCTGATGATTTGTTATGGGAGCAGCTGGAGGCATACCCTGCGACATCCTGGTACCCATTACACTCTCTCATTCCTCACACTGCTTGTGATACTGCGCATCAAGGCCTGGAATCCAAACTGCTTCGCTTCAAAAACCACCCAATTCCGAGACTTCCATATACACTTCATATTTTATTTCACTTTTTACCTATTGAGTTTCTCATTTCGCGACAGAACAAACTATTTTTGCAGGTATTATAGACTATCTTACGCCCTCTTCTACCTCTTGGATGTTTTCTTATATTGGGATGTCTTTAATAATTTACTCATTTCACTTCTTACATATTGAATTTATCAATTCGTGAAACAAACTATTTTTGCATATATTACGAGGTCCTCTAAACCCTCTTCTACCTCTTAGATGTTTCTATTTTCTTGGAATGTCATTGACAAATACTATCATTCTAAGCCTTTGGCATGATTCACTTATGCTAAAGTTTCTTGACACACAAGTTAAGTTCATAACATGCACGGTAAATGGACAAAAAAAAAGTGATCTTATGCATGGACAATGTCTTACCCAAATAGAATACACTATTTATGCGTAAGGAGTTTAGTTCCTCTTTACGGTGCTAAGGTGAAGCTATTCCATTCAGGAGAGAAGGAAAGAACCTTTTCTAGCGTACATGTACGTGGAACTATAGGGATGAAAATGGGTCGACTCGGTTGTGGATAGTGCATATTTGTTATCCTACCCAAAGTAGTTCGAGTTTTACCCATACTTATACCCAAATGAGAATATTATATTTATATGCTAAATATAAAATATGTTAGAGAAAAATAATGATTATTTATAGACAAAATACACACACATATATATATATATGGTGGCTACTTCGGCGCACTCACTTTTTTGGGTGCACTGAGTGCACCCACTCTAAAAGTGTCCATATTACATCAAATTTTGAACTTTAATTAGTACTCTCAATCTAATATGATGATATGACATAGAATCATAACAAATCAATCTATTACCCTAACCCCTTAACCTTCAATTTTGAATCCCAATCCAAAATCCCAAATTTTAAGCCTAATCCCTAACCCTAAATCCCTAAATCCTAAATCCTTCAAATTAAAGTAAATTTTGAATGAATTTTTTTCAAATTCATGTGCTTCTTGTTCATAATATCATAAGCAACAATTGATACCGTTTTGACATGAATCACATGCTCAGAATGACAATTATGAGGCGGGTGCACTGAATACGCCACCATATATATATATATATATATATATGAGGAGTTCTACGGTACCCAGGGTGAAATCCGGGATACCGCATACCTTGATTAAGAAAATGTTATTCAGAACTAAAATTGACTGATCTTTCGGACATGATATTATACTCCAACCCTTAAAGATCAAAATCTAGGTCTTAATTCTCTAAATTTTATACCCCAAGATCAATTTAGTTAGAAACAATAATCGACGGTTATGATCCGTCCAAATATAGGCAAAAAAATCAATGCACCATCTTAGGGTTTATAGTTTATGATTTAGATAATTAGGACCTAGGGTTCACTCATCAAAGGTTAGGGTATAGTATCATGCCCAAAAATCCTGCTAATTCGAGGTCTAGATAGCATTTTCATACTCAAGGTATGCAATACCTTTGATTTCACCCGGGGTACTGTAGAAGGCACCATATATATATATATATATGTGTGTGTGTGTGTATAATCGGGCGGGTTCAGGTTGGATAGTGAGAAAATCATACCCACCCATTATCCGCATTATCGGGTTTTATCCATACCCACTCAAAATCCTTCAGTTTCGAATTTTACCCTACCAGATTAGGTCGGATTCGGGCGGATATCCACGGTTACGGATATTTTATTCATCACTAGGTGTAACCCCATAAACCAACAAAGCTAATGAGTTGTACGAGGTCACACGAATCAATTTTTTTTAACTTTTTTTTTTATGCTTTTGTGAAGAGAAAAATGCAAGAAAGACTTTTGAAAACCCTCCATTCCACATGCTTTTAAGACCATCCTCAATGATGCAATTCTCATACAATTTCAAGTGTGGTCCTTATTACCACTTCAACAATTTTAACAACTACTTCACTCCTCACTTTCATACTAATACTATCTACATCAATGCCATTCACATGCAATTGCATCGTGGGTCCTACTTAATTTTACTACAATTCTATATCTGAATCGCTATTTGCCGCCCATCATTTTATGAAAAAAGTCTTTTTGTCCAAAACCTAACTAAACTCCCTATCCCGCCGTCGGAACCACTGGCCGGGTTTTGCTGCCGCTGTGAAGAAACAAAGTAGCCGCCTCACCTTCCTTTTTCGGTTCCGCAAATCCGGCTTCTCTAATTAACCCACCCCACATATATATATATCCATACCTCGTCAATCACTTCCAACCTAATTTAACATAATTATAGATAATTACTACTTACCTAATTAATGATAATATTAATATTGATATAAAATAATAACAATAATTTCCCCTAATCCACCCCACTTACGTAGGGATGGCAATGGGTCGGGTCTGGGGCGGATAGTGCATATCCGCTACCCTACCCAAAGTAGTTCGGGTTTTACCCAGACCCATACCCACATAAGAAACGGATAGAAAATCAAAATCATGTCCATACCCGTTCGGGTTTCGGGTATCCACGGTTATCCATGGGTAATAGTTTCTCTTTATAACTTCAACCAATATGTTAATATTCATATGTATTCTCACATTACGTAAGACAAAAAGGATGACAATAATATACAAGGATGAAGAAAATTCATTAAAACAACACAATTTCATGAAAAAATTATATTTATATGCTAAATATAAAATATATTAGAGAAAAATAATGATTATTTCTAGACAAAATACATACGCATGTGTATATCGGGCGGGTTCGGATTGGATAGTGAGAAAACCATGCCCACCCATTACCCGCAATATTCGGGTTCGGGTTTTACCCGTACCCGCTAAAAGTCATTCGGGTTCGGGTTTTACCCACCCGACAAGGTCGGATTCGGGCGGATATCCATGATTACGGATATTTTTGCCATCCCTACACTTACGGCACAAAATCCTTCTCGTTAATCACTTCTCTCTCCAATTAACCTCCTTCAAAACTTCTCTTCCAATCCCAAAATTTCCGGTCGAATACCCTCCTCTCCTTCTCCATCTCTTCGTTCGTCTGCCGTCAGTCGCCGGGAATTGGACTGCGTCGAGTCGTCCGCTCGTCAGTGCCAGGGCCCGTCCGCTCTCGCGCCGCTCTCGCCGGCGAGTGGACGAGTCCGTCTCCGGCGAGCGGATAAGGTCCGTTGCTGACGAGCGGACGGTCTTTGTTCTGTAAAAGCTGCCGGATAAAAACAGAGTTTATTTCATTCGCCATTGGCGATCTAGAGGCAATTGTTTCTGATGGTGGTGGTCCACCGGAGATGCTGGTTCTGCCCTGGTGGTCTGAGGGTGATGGAAAGATTGTAAATTGGTGTGAAAGAATCTTTCGTTGGAAAAGAATCTAAACATATAGAAGAGAGCAAAAATGTCAATTTAACTTAAAATACGAGCAACAAATAGTAAAAGACTGGACGGTAAATAACAACCCTCTTCTATATTCATGTTCACTCGTGGCATTTCACACACTCCACAAACTACATTTCCCCTCGTCCATCTCTTTCCCTTTCGGCGGACCCCGTTTTCATCATTCCGTCCAACAAACGGAGGAGATTTACCCGCTTGATTTGACTCCTCCAAAAAGAATGTTTCCCTTTGCTTCAAACCCGTGCTGTCACAGTTGCTAGAGACACCATATCATTTCCATTTGCTACATTTTCAACCCTCGCAAAAGATGACTGCCTTTATTTGAACATCAACGATTACCGAAGAAACGATCGAGATGGGAAAGAAGGTTCTTAGTTAGTACTAGAGACACAAATTTGAAAAGCTTAAGATGAGATGCATTATGCAGCAATTCACTTCTCTGTTCAAGGCCTACTATTACAGAAAGAATGATCACAAAAATTTGACAAACAATGGATGTATCTAACTCTTGACAGCAGAATTCTCATTCATTTAGGCTTATAATGTACGAAATGATGCTCAATAATGGGGGCAGTTCGAGTTCCGACAGCTACAGGAGCTCTAACATGTCCAACCATGGAAACCTGCAGAGCTTCCTCCTCATACGCCCTCCTCTCCATCTCCACCATCCTCGCTTTCTTCTTCACCTTGGCAAACATCGCCACCAGAAGCAAACCCAACAGCACAATCGCCAATGCACTCCCCACACTGCTCCCCACCGCCACTTTCCACATCACCACTCTGCCTCCTTCTCCTCCTCCTCCTCCGTCCTCTGCTGCGTACGGCGGTGGGGCTGGCGGCGCCGGTGGAAGCTTCACCACCAACCCAAAATGACCGTTGGATGTCGAACCACAGAGATAAGGCGAAATTGGGGGTTTCAAGCTCACAGTCTTCCCATCTCTCCCAAAGCTCGCACACAGAGGATCAACATGATCGTCACGAATCGCAGCGACGGTGAAATTGATAGTGATTGGACTTCCTTGATCGGAACGAATTCCGACTTCCAAAGGGTAGCTTGAATTGGGGTTGTTGCTGGTCTTCTTGCCCGCATTGTAGGCAGTGAGGCCGAGAATTGGCGATACGAGTTGGTAGCCAGAGAGGTTGTAGTTTGCAGAGTAGAAGGATATTGACCAATTGAGATCAAAGTTGTGTGTGATCAACATCACTCTTTCCACGCAAGGGAACAAGTTGACGCCGATTCCTAGGTGGAATTCGTCGATCCTTGCCCCGTACCGGGTCAAGCTGCCGCACCGGAACCTCGCTGCGCGAGCCCGTACGCCGGAGAGGTTAGGCGGGAGGCGGACACTCTGCATTTCCCCTGTTTTCGTCATGTTCAAGTTGTCACTGAAAGTGTAGTTTCTGATTAGGAGATCTAGCATCTGTGGCGACGTGATGGGCTTCTGAGCTCTTGTTGGTGAGAGCGACAGGAGAATTGTAATCAATATGAAGGAGTGAAGATTGAGCATGGTTTTTGAGGAATGATGGAGCGATGGGGGTTTCTGTGTGTGGTTATTTATTGGGTTCTTATGGAACTGGTTTCGTTTGGATGGAGGAAGAACTGAGAGGTCTTTTTGCTTTGGTGGAGTCAGAAAGAAGAGAGAAGGGTGAAGTTCTTGGCTTTGTTACCCTTTTATGCATTGGATTTGAGTCAAAAGTAAAGAAAGTTTAGTGCTTTTGAGTTTTGACAGCCTTTTGCTGTACAGATGGTAAGATAGTACTCAATAACTTTCCTGTTCCCTTTGGAGTGATTAATGTGTGCATTAACCGCAGTCAATCAATGAAATCATGGGCAAATTTGCTAAATTTATGCAAAAGGTTGTACTCGAAAGGTAAGTATACAAGGCTCTCTGAATGCTCTCTGAAGCGCATCCCGTTATTTCTTTCTCAACTCCGGCAGCCGGCCAAGCTGGTCGGCCGCCGGATGTCAACACCCTCCCAGACTCTACCACAGACATCCCAGCCAAGACAATGGCTCCCGCCGCTCTTACTGTGACGCCTCGGTCGAATCCATCCAACTCTCCGCCGCTGAACTACAAAGCAGCGCTGTCAGGACAAGGTCGTGATTCAAGAACAACTGCTAATCGATGGACCTTTGTTGGCGAACAGGATCTGGTGGCAGGCTCCTTCGCGGGGGAGCCGGAACTGAAAATCTCAGATAACTTCAAAGAAAGGCTTTGCGACCCGTGGAAGAAGACTCTTGTCATCCGTCTGCTTGGTCGATCAGTATCCTATAACTACTTGTGCTCACAGCTCAGATGGAAATGGCGTCCGACCGGGTCCATCGACATCATGGATCTAAACAACGAAACATTTCTGGTAACTTTCTCTAACGATCAAGATTACCTCAAGGCTCTAACGGGTGGACCATGGGAAATCCTCGACCATTACCTTGTGGTCCACCCCTGGTCACCAAAGTTCAGGACTTCCGACAAAATCCACAAATCAGTCACTGCTTGGGTTCAATTGCCTGAACTCCCCGTACATTTCTACCACCGGGAAGTGTTATTCGCCCTGGGAAATCTCATTGGCAGGACTGTAAAGTTGGACTACCACACAGAAATGCTTGAAAGAGGAAAGTTTGCTAGGATCGCTGTAGAACTCGACATGTCGAAACCGCTCCCGACCCGCATCCGATTGGACGGATTCTGGCAACAAGTTCTGTATGAGAACATCCCGCAAATCTGCTTCGACTGTGGTAGAATCGGGCACACAGAAGAGACCTGTCCAACGAAATTGAAGAGCGCATCTGCAGAATTAGGCTCGGAGGTGATACCACACCCAGCTAACGTCGGCGGGAACATCGATTCGCCGGCCGAGCCGCCGGCCGGCTATGGACCTTGGATGCAGGTGATGCGCAAATCTCGCAAACCAATCAGGAAAGCCAGCGATAGTCAAGGTCCCCAAAAAGGAAATCAACAGGAAAAGCTTGCCAATCAGGGCAAACAGACGGCAAAAATCTTGGGATCATCCAAGGGCGCTAATCCCGGCAACATCGGTGCAAACGATGGGAAAGGAAAAGGGAATCACAAACCCGACAGTAAGAAAGGTAAATCAGATACTCAGAAGGGGAAAGTCTCAACAGAGGAAGGAAAGAATACTCAGAAGGGGAAAGTTACAGCAGAAGAAGGCAAGACTATGCAGGCTAATAGGAAGGCTAATAACGACCAGCGAGAATGGATTCCAGTGGGAGCTGCTAAGGGCTCCGTGAATGGCCCAAGTCTAGCCATTAAAACTGGGCCGCTGACTCCAAGCCCACTAACAGCAGGCCACATCGAGCAGGATTTGGGAAACAAGTGTGGCAGCCCAAGTGTGGGGAGGGCGAGCCCGACGACCTTACCGAAGGAGAATCTGGACCCGAACGTGCACTCCCACTCGGTTAGACAGCATTTTGACAGAAGGAACGCTTCCAACTCACCTGGCTCTGGAAAGATAGATCGCCACCTGAAGATTGCGAAGAAGCAAATCCACAATCCCGCCGGGACGAAGCGCGAAATGCACCAGCTGGTTCAAGCGAACACCTTCCCTATTACCCAGCGGGATATAGAATCCTTCCTACGCCAGTCCAAACAGAAAGCGGAAGAATTCGGCATTTCCTCGACTACCCTGGCTGATGATATCAGAATGGAGGATAGCGTGGCCCCTAGCGAAGCTCGGGCGACGGAACCGGAGCAGAAGGCTTCTCCAGCGCTTTCTATCGCGGACTAACAGGGAGTCCCTTCCCTTCCTCCCTCCTCTCCAGTCTCGATGTTTAGTGTTTTTAGCTGGAACTGTCGTGGGGCTAAGAGTCCCAAATTTCTTTCCGTTTTCAAGGATTATATGCTTGCCTATAAACCTAATGTTGTCTTCATCGTTGAGCCTAGGATTAGTGGTAAAGATGCTGATACGGTGATTGCCAAAATGGGTTTCGATCGTTTTAAGAAAGTTGATGCCGCTGGTTTTTCCGGGGGAATCTGGGTTCTCTGGAGTTCAGCGGTTTTGTCAATTACAGTAAAGGATAGAGGCTCACAATTCTTACACTTTCAATGTCTGGATTTGCAGGATAATCGTACTGTGGAAATGACCGCCATCTATGCCAAGCCGAATGATCACGACCGTCTTCTTCTTTGGGACTCTCTTCGGCATATTGAACGGCATATGAAGAACCCGTGGTTGCTTGTCGGGGATTTCAACTCTATCTGCAGTCCTTCTGATCGACAGGGAGGCGCTGGTTTCAACCCTCAGAGAACTACCCAATTTAACGAGTGTATCAACGACTGTAATCTGATCGATGTGGGGTTCACAGGTCCACGGTTTACCTGGACCAATGGCAGACTCTCACAACGCCTCGATCGTGCCCTTTGCAACAGGGACTGGCTTGAATGCTTCCCAGATACTTCGAATACTCACCTTCCCCGTATTCGCTCAGATCACCGGCCAGTTCTTGTGCGGAGTTCGATTGATCAATCCGCCCCCCGCAAGGAAAGACCCTTCAGGTTCCTCGCTGCCTGGCTCTCCCATGAATCTTTTCCTAATACCATCGATACAGCTTGGAATCGGGGTAGAGACTTCAATCTCTCCCTTCTAGACTTGCAAGAGGCGCTGCGAACCTGGAACAAAGACGTCTTCGGCAATATTTTCAAGAGGAAGAGAGCCCTGTCGAATCAACTGACCAGATGGGAGCTCATCAATGATCGAAACCCCAACCCGAGGACTTTGCAAGAGGAATCTCGCGTCAGGGAAGAATTGGAGAAAACCCTTTGGCAGGAAGAGCTTCTCTGGTTACAGAAATCAAGGGATAACTGGATTAACAATGGTGACAGCAACACCCCCTTCTTCCACTCTTCCACCATTGCCCGGAGAAGAAGAAATAAGATTTTAAGGCTGCAAAACAACGACGGTGACTGGATTGAAGATCAGGAGACGTTGCAGAATATGGCTTGAGATTTCTACATAGATTTATTTACTGCAGACACTGATACAGTCCAGAACTTCTATGCAGATTTCACGATTCCGGATGCCTCCACCCTCAACAGGCTTGCCTCTGCTCCTTCAGTGGAAGAAATCATTAGCATCATAAAGAACATGGGAAGCTTGAAGGCGCCTGGTAAAGATGGTTTCCATGCCATATTTTACAAACGCTGCTGGAATACCATACAGGTGGAACTCCGGGACTTCATAGCTAGATGTTTCCAGGAACCCGATTCCATTAGAAATTGCAACTCGACGCTGCTCACTCTGCTGCCTAAGGTGGACAGCCCGAGTAATATGACTCAATTCAGACCGATTGGGTTATGCAATGTCAGCTACAAGATTATTGCGAAGTGCCTGGCTGACCGTCTCAAGCTGCTGATGCCGGGACTAGTTGATGAGAATCAAACCAGCTTCGTTCCCAAGCGCCACATAACCAGCAACATCATTATCCTGCAAGAGATTATTCACACAATGAACCAGAAGAAGGGTGAGAATGGTTTGATGGTGCTGAAAGTTGATTTGGCAAAGGCTTACGGCAGGATCAGTTGGAGCTTCCTCCTGTCTACCCTCGAAGCTGCAGGCTTCCCTCAGGATTTCATCTCTCTTGTCATGGCTTGTGTGACGACAGCCAGCTTCCAAGTCCTTTGGAATGGTAACTGCACTGAGGAATTTAAACCCACTCGCGGCCTTAGACAGGGATGTCCCCTCTCTCCATATCTTTTCACTTTATGCATGGAGCGTTTAAATCACAATATTAAAAAATTTGTGGAATGTGGGGACTGGAAACCGATCTGCTTATCTAAAGATGGACCTCCACTAACCCATTTATTTTTTGCAGATGATCTTGTGCTCCTAGCCGAGGCGAATGTGAATCAAACTAGGATGGTGATGAAATGTTTGGACCAATTTTGCTCAGCTTCTGGAGAAAAAGTCAGCAAAGAAAAATCGCGAGTCTATTTCTCGAGGAACACTAAGGAAAGCACCAAGAACAGGCTAAGTGGTCTAATGGGAATCCCTAGTACGACCAACCTTGGCAAGTACCTGGGTGTTCCGGTTATCCACGGGCGTGTCGCGAAGGAAACCTACAAGTACATCCTTGAGAATATAGATAGAAGGCTTGCAAGCTGGAAAACTAAAAGCCTGTCACTAGCTGGGAGGGTCACGTTGGCTACCTCGGTACTCAATGCTCTTCCAAACTACACCATGCAAACTGCAGTCCTACCCTATAGTGTTTGCGACATGATCGATAAGAAGATTAGAGGGTTTGTTTGGGGCAGGGAGAATGGCAAGGAGAAGGCCCACCTCGTAACGTGGGAGACTGTCTGCAAACCCAAAGAGGAGGGTGGGCTTGGCCTTCGGTCAGCTAGAGCCCTGAATTTGGCTTACCTAATGAAGCTGGGCTGGCAATTCCTTAATAATGAAGAGAGCCTTTGGGTCAGGGTGCTCCACGGAAAATACGTTAAGCAGAATGATGATGGCAGCGTGACTTTCCGCCAGCAGGGAGCCTCTCGACTTTGGAAAGGGATTAAGGATGCTCTACCTCTTGTAAAACAGAATACCATCTGGGACATTAGGGACGGTAGAAGCGTCAACTTTTGGAAAGACCACTGGATCTCTAATGGCCTAGCTTTGAAGGACCATGTTGTCTCAAATGGACACACCGTCGAGTGGGACAACTCTGTAGCAGAGATGGTGAATTCATCAGGTGAGTGGAATTGGCATATTATTAGGAAACACCTCCCTGACACAATAATCTCTCTTCTTGCAGGTACCGATACCCCTCTCCAAGAAGCTGGGGAAGACACTACCATTTGGGGACCGGAAAGTGACGGACGATTTCGTATTGGCAGTGCGTATAGGGCGGCGGTGGAATGGCTGCAGGATGCCGATCAGGAAGAGGCTGCTAGGGACAATCATACCAAGTGGATGCACGGATGGAAGTGGCCAGGACCCAACCGTATACGATACTTCCTCTGGCTTTGCTTCCACGATCGACTCATGACTAATGGCGAGAGGAAGCGGAGGAAACTATGTGACAGCGACACATGCGAGATTTGCAAGTCAGGAGCAGAGACGGCGGAGCACGTTATTAGAACCTGCCCCCTAGCGACTCAGGTATGGAATTCGCTCGGGCTAATTGAGACTCCCCTTACGCACTGCTTGAATTTTGCAGGTTGGATGGCGACAAACTTGAAGAAAGAAGGGACAAACCTGCTATTTGGTGTGGCGGCCTGGTTCCTATGGAGAAGAAGGAACGACTGGATTTTTGAGAAGAGATTCCAAGAGTCAGATACTTTGGCTCATCGGATACGAGCATGGGTTGCAGCTATCAAACAAGCTCAGGACAACAATCAGAAACTCCGCAATGACACGGAGGTTGACAAAACAAGACAAGAGCTGGCATGGCAACCACCCCCTGAAGATTGGATCGTCATCAACTCTGACGGATCTGTTAAACAACCCAACTCGGCGGCAGCTGCAGGTGGCCTCCTCCGCAATCATCTTGGCCGATGTGTTGGAGCTTTCGTTACCAACTTAGGCAGCTGCTCTATCACGCGGGCGGAGATCATCGGGGCGCTCACTGGACTCCAACTTGCTTGGGATCTAGGCTACAAGAAGGTACTCCTCCGTCTTGACTCCACAGCAGCACTGGATATCTTAACTGGAAAGGATCAAGACAGCAGGCGTTACCACAATCTCTACAGGCATTTTCAGAACCTGCTTCAGCGCAACTGGGAGGTTCACCTCTCCCATTCTTACCGCGAATGCAACAAAGCGGCAGATTACTTAGCCAATAAGGCCCATGGGTTTAGCATAGGCACTCATACATTTGATATTTGGGACTCGGGTCTCAACTTTTGGACCTTGTATGATACTATGGGGATTACCCAAGATCGTTTAATCTAAGGTTGGGCGCCCTTTAGCGTCCCATTTTCTACCAAAAAAAAAAAGAAAGGTAAGTATCAAAAAGTCAAAAGAGTCAACTTGAATTACCATGAAAGCCATGGTATGTTGAGCTTGTCTGCTTTCCTGATTTGATTTCAAATTGAAGAGATAAGGGCGGGTATTAGTTCAGTTGGGTGGGTTTTACGTGAAAGTTTTCATCTAGTCAATTTTCTTCAATTCATTAGCAATAATGTATAAATTATTCATAGATCGAGTTTCATTAGAACTGACTGTGCTTTTTTTTCATCATCGGTTGGATAATAGTGAAATTTTTTAAAAAGTGATCGAGAATGTCATGGCGATTAGGATTTAGGGGATGGGGAGAATGATTTGGGGGCTTGCAAGGAGTGGGGTTGAGAACTAATGATCATCACCATTTGAATACAAAGAAAGAGAATTGCGGGGGGGATTGGCGTGCTTAAGGAAAGCAATGGAAAAGCTATATAGAGGGGGAGCCGAGGCTGGAATGTCAATATTCTCCAACGGCAATGATGACCATGTCCCCTAGTTCACTTGCCCTTTGGGGATTTGTGGGACTCATGTCATTCTGCATTATTTAAGGTCACACACATACGTATTAATTTCTTCTTCTTTGTTTCTGTTTCTTTGACGTGCGGCGGACGATGTCCTGTTGACATAGCATGGTCAACGACTTTAAAACACAAACCGATGAACAGAAATGGTCCAAAAAGACCATTACCTAGGGGTGGGATATTGGTTTGGGGTTTTTGGTTTAAACCCACACTGAACTGATCAGGTCAATATCAATTTTAGGTTTTCGATCACAAATATTTTTTTTCTTATTGGTTTTGGACTTTTGGTTTTGGTTTAAACCAAAAATTCAATAAGAAACCGAAACAATAATTGGGGGCGCAGGAGGTTTCGGTTTTAATTGGGGATGTAAGGGTTTTGATTTTTGGTTTGTTTTAACTTTAACGGTTTCGGTTTTGGTGAAATATACTTGCTCGATTTTTCATTTTTAATACCATTAATGCAAAAGTCTCCTTTTGTCTTTCTTTTATTTCACTTGTTGGAGATTTTTAGCCAATGGTGTCTTTCCTATCTCTTGGTATACTGTTGTTCTTCCCGCCCTTTCAGACCATTCAGTGAAATCGAAACAATGCAGTGGAACTTTCTGCTAAGTTTCTCATAAGCGACTACATATCAATGCTAAAAAATGGAGAAACTTTTTTCATTTTGGCTACTCAATCTGATAAGTACGTACAGTAGTTTTTTTGTACCATACAAAAAGGACAGAAGCCGCACAGAAAAGGTACGTGTCTAACCCATGGGCCCGGCAAAATGTAAAACCAAAAGTGAAAAAGACAAAAGAGTCAAACCCCAAAACCAAAACTTAAGTACACAAAATCAACAAAAAGGCGACATTTTTAGTCTAGTGGAAGTTGACATTGGACTTGTAAGTCGACCCAGTGTTCCAATTCGAAGGTGCAACGTTCAAAGCATATACAATCTCCTTAGTCGAGTAGGATTGCACCCTGAAAGACAACGACTGCCCACCCAAGCTCGAGAACGCCTGGTAGGAAGCTCCCCAGTTATGGCTCATGCTAATCCACCCGGTCTTGCTTCCCTTCACCCACATCTGCGCAATGTCGCCACCTCCAGCCACGTTCATCACGTACACCAACAGCCAGTACCCGTTGCCTTGGAACTGGAACCTGATGCCGCCTTTCGGCGCGCAGGGAACCCTTCGAAACATGACGGGGATGATCCCGGCCTTCCACTCCGCGATCCTCATGAACGCCGGCTTCGACATGTCGAAGTGGGATCTGGGAGGGTTGCACCATCCGCCGTTGTTGGAGTCCTGGGACCAGTTCGGCGGGCAGATGTTGGTGGCCGTCACGGTGATGGACGGCGTCGAGCCGTAGGATGAGTAGCAGTGAGGGGAGTTCACGCATTTGATCTGGAAGCACGCGCCACAGGAGTAGCCGTTGTTGAACAGAGTTGTGCTCAGTGCGGCCGTGTTGGTTCCGTACCCGTTTTGGAACAAGTTTCCGTACCCACAAGCTCCTCCTATATAAAAAAACAAAACAAACAAACAAACAATTTAGATGAATATTCTTTGGCGTTGGTTTGATAGATAGAACGATTTGAGAGTGAAAATTAATGTTGGTTTGTATATACGTACCCATGGTTGCAGAAGCAGTCTCGTCGCCGTAAAATGTGGCGTGGGCTAGGGACCATTGACTGGGCCGGAAGACGGGCACGCGTCTGACGGCCCGGCTATAGCCAGCTGCATCGGTTGTTTGCGCGAAGAGGAGACTAGACGCTACTAGTGTTGCTAGTACTATGAAGAAGCTATTTGTCTTTGAGCTAGAAGCCATTTTTCTTCTTCTGCTTATCCCTAATTTAGCAAGACTTTTCAATGAGGAAGCTAGGGCTTTTTTGGGTACGATGTGGCTTGATTGATGATTCATTTGACAAAGGTACGTTGCCCTTAAATACTCTTCTACGATGAAGAGGGTTGAAGGGTTCTTGCCCCAGAAAAGAATGCCCTTCGTGGGGGCACGAAAGGATGGGTTTGGTTGGCGGCTGGTTTTTAAGGTGATTTGTTTTTTTTTTTTCATTTCAATTTTAAAAATAAAAAGGGCGAAAGGGAATGTTTTTAGGTTTCCGGGGGTGGTTGTCGTGCACGCAGGTTTTCTTGCCACATTGACTGATTGACATGTTTTTTTTATATATATATATTCATAATTCTCATTTGAGTCTTAAAAATAAACCGATACGTTGGTAGAGATAATTGTGTTTATTGAACGGGAAAAAGAAAAATTTACGTTTTTGTTTACACCTATTTGCTTTTTGTATTGATGACCATGTTTATTTTTTGCGTATGGTTTTGCTTCTAATGAGCCAATTGGATCAACTTTGACGGAGGACGGGAGGTTGCTCGAGGACTAGGAGGTTTACTGTACGTTGTTTCTTCGACTCCATCATGTTGTTATAACGTTAACAAGATATGGCCAACGTTGTAATATCCAAATGGTGTCCACATCAGCATGTAACATGCAGACAATATGACAAAGCAAAGTCGTGTCACTTAATCGATGTGGCACAACATGATAAAGATCAAACTAGATCCAATTTTTAATTTGTAGTTACGTTTGCATGAAATGGCCAAAGCATATGCGTATTAAATGGTAAAGCAATTGCCACATCTTCAAAATGATATTGTACAATATGATCGAAAACCTTAGGCCCCGTTTAGTATCATTTTGTTGCTGTTGTGGTTGCAGTGGTGTTGTGTAAACAGATGTACAACCACAACAGGAAAAAAAACAGAAAACACAAACCTGTTTAGTTGATAAATCTAAAAAATCATGAAAGCTGACAACAAGAAACAAAAACGCGTTTAGTTACTACTATAAGAACTACAAACCAGAAAAAAGAGACTGGCGGCGGCGACGGCTGGGCGGGCGGGCGGCGGCGGTTGCTGGGCTGGCGGCCGGGTGAGGCGGCGCGGCGCGGAGGCGGAGGCAGAGGGGTCAGGGCGCGGAGGTGGCGGGGAGGCTGGGCGGGCGGCGGCGCGGCCCGTAGGTGGGGAGGCGGAGGTGAGGCGGGCGGCGCAGAGGGGGATGGGCTGCACTGTTTTGAGAAAATGAAAGGGTTGGGAGCTGTTATGTTCAAGTAGGGTTTGAGGTTTGTTCCTATGTGTTAAAAAAAATTGCTTCTGTGGGGATTCAAAAACTGGACTGGTTTAATGAAATCAAGCGCCCAACCAGTAGAAATCCCGTGTGCAACATGTTTAAGAATCAGATCCAAAGCCATAAATTGTTGTTTCTCATATTTGGGCCTTGTTGTGCAACTCTGATTCACAACAGAAAATAAAAACCCAACTAAACACGATTTTTTTTCTTGGTTTTCCAAATTTCATAAAACACAACAGACAACAAAAACAAACAACAATACTAAACGGGCCCTTATATTTTAATATAAATTGGTATAATATATCCAAAATATCTGGCCTTGTACAATGAAAGCTAACTTACTAAATAGTGGCTTAGTACCCCTCTCAAATATACATTTGTTTGAGAATTTTAGTGGAGGTGTTCAAAGTTAAAATTCAGCTGCTCTAAATTCTAGAAGTTGAAATTCCACGCATGGACCTCGAGAATCTGGTAGATTATATATGGATTTGGCTGCTTTAGCTGATTCACTAGTCACTAGATACGACATATGGGCGGCTAATCATCCATTTCATAATATAATCATATCATCATATGTATCGGACCAAAACAGAGCAATTATGTATGTGGAGGCACGTTTACTAGTGAGTAATAACACCAGAAATGGACGGCCATCATTCTCGTCGGTCGGCGGATAATAGAGAGAGAGCCAGAGGGAGGGATTTTTCCCATTAAAATTTTACTAAATAAAAATATTCCCTATTTTTCCCAAATTGATTGATTTAGAGATATATTGTTTGGAAATGAAGATTGTTGGTTCTATAGAATCAGTTTTCAAATATAAATTAAGAATATCCCGAATTGCACTATTATAGCTGAAATTTCAAATCCATATAAAAGTAATTCAAACTCTCCACTTCTGTTTTAAGTCATATACATTTTATGGCATTTTTAACAAAAAATCTGTAGAATGTATAGATTCTTCAAGTCACTGGCCGATAATTCCAACTTTCAAACAAGTCCTAAAATAATTGCAATGTGTTTTCCATCCAAACAAAACAAGAAAAGACTATGTTTATGGAATTGTAATTCATTCTTCAAATGTCATTTGTATTAAACGATCATATAATATTTATTTTTGTCACTTTCCTAGCATAAATCTGAAAATTGGTAACAAATTGATCAAAATTCTATTTCATTTGATCTTTAATAAGAGTTTTTGATGAGTTATCAGTTGATAATATGAGGAAGATTTTAAATAAAATAAAGATAGATCAGCATACTCTGTACCCACTTGAACTGAAAATTATCAGCCATAAAAATAGAATAGATAGTGTTTGTTATAGCCTACTGTTTTTGTTGCAGCATATGGGAGTTGACTTTGTCCCAAACTAGTCCATGGTTGCAATTCAAACTAGACGATATGTCAAGATGGGACGGAAAGCAATTGATCGATTTGTCAACAACGAGAGTTTGGAATTCCATCATTTGCTTCTAGGCCTAACATAAGGTGGTTTAATATTAGTGCAGGCGTGTACCTTAATACTCATACTTCATGTTATTGCAGGTCGTGTAGGGTAATATCTGCTTGAGTATGGGCTGGGGTTTGGTCGATCCACTCCTATATGTTATTTTTGAAAAAAAAAAGTAAATTGCAAGGTAGGTCACTGAAATTACAAAAAACGTTCATGTTTGGTCACTAAAAATATTTAATTCCATTCGTAGTCACTAAAATTATTTAAATATTTCAAATTTGGTCATCCTATGTCCAACTCAATTAACTTTTGCTTACGTGACGATCAACTCTAAAAATTGACCGTTAAATGTGTGACGTGACAATTAAAAAAATAATATAATAAATAAACTTTAATGTTTTATTTTTCCACCTCATTTCTAACTATTAAAAAGATAAAAAAATTAAAACTTTTCAGTGTCATGACGACCCGGGAGCCACTCGTTGTGGCAGACTCCTCTGGCCTTCCTCTTCCATCACTTCCGACCCATCGGCCAATAGTAGGGGTGTCAGTCGGTCGGTTTCAGTTTAACCGAAAACCGAATTCTCGGTTATCGGTTAAACCGAACGACCACCCCGGCTACCGACCACCGACCGTGGGAGATACAGCGGTTAGCCGACCACCGACCGGTCGGTTGGCCGGTTTTGGTTCGGTTAGCCCCAAGACCGAAAACCACACCCTAATTAAAAAAAAAAAAAAAAATCTAAAAATCCTCCCACCACTCATTCTTTATCTCCTCAATCCTTCTCTCTCCAAAAATCCTCCCACGACTCTCAGACTCAGTTGCTCTAGAAAGAAACCCCTAACTCTATACTCTCCCACCGAGAAATGGCCGCCGCAGCACCTCCGCCGCCGCCAACCCCGACTCCCACGCCGCCCACTGGCCTGCCGCAGTCCGATTCCACCGCCCCATCCCGGCCGACGTCCCCCACATCTGCTCCGCCACCGAATCCGACCTCTCCTCCACCCTCTTCAACTCGCCTCCTTTCCAGTCCTTCACCGTCTTCCTCCTCGAAATCTCACACTCCCCATTTTTCAATCCACCGCCTTCTTGCTTGCATGTCGTTCGCGGAAGACCTCGCGAAGCCGGCGGAGGGAGACGACGTTCCCGCGGCGGCGTTCGCGCGGCGGCGGTTGGAGACGGCAGGCGGCGCGGCGGTGGTCGTGAGTCGGAGGGAGAAGGAGGGCGGCGGTGGTCTTCTGTTTCTTCTTTCTTCTTCTGGGTTTTCTTTGAGAGGTGAAAGGGAAGAGAAGAGGGTTTCTTTTTCTGGGTTTTCATTTTGAGAGGTGAAAGGGAAGAGAAGAGAGAGAGGATGCGGAAGAGAAGAGGGTGGAGGGGATGGCTAGGGTTTGGGGGGGTCGTTTTGAGAGGGGGCCGGGTCGTTTAGGAGGCTGGGTGAAGGCTCGGTTAGTCGGCTAACCGCCGGTTTCCGACCTCGGTTGGTCGGCTAGCCGAGCCTTCTCCCTTCGCTACCGACAACCGACCGAATGTAATTAAGGACGGTTTCCGGTTAGCCGAAAACCGGTCGGTTCGGTCGAAACCGATCGGTTAGCCGCTAACCGGAAAACCGATTGCCAGCCCTAGCCAATAGTAGTACTGCGAAAACTCTAGGAGATCATCTTCTGGGGAGCATGAGACTGATTAACGAAGTCCTGAAAGAGAAGAGATCAGACCCATACAAGTTAATCGGTTTGAGATACGTGAAGAACTTGGTGCTACAGATTGATAAACTCAAAACTTAATCGTTTTGAGTTTAGGGAATTAAGGACAATGTTGGATCTGTTAGTTTGGGCTTCCGGTTAGCCCATGGTTAGTGAGTCAATAATAAGCCTGGTTAGATTAGTAGAGTCTGAACGTGTGTTAGTCGTTTAGTTGAGTTGTTAGTAGTTCATGGATTGTAGGAGTGTGACTAGAACTAGAAGCACAGAACCTTCCTTCTCCGGGAGCTTCAAATTAACATCCGCATGACGACTAGAACTAGAAGCACAGAATATAATTCCTCTGTTCAAGCTACGCAATTCAATTTCCCTAAATATATTCTCAGAACAGCTGTAAACAGAACAAGCTACTGTCACTCTTTAAATCATCGTCCAAAAACACAGTGTATACGGTGGCTTGATGATAACATCATTGGATTTAATCAACGCGCCCAATACTCCTAACTCGGGTTTGAATCCTAACGAAGAAGAAAATTCAAAGTTGTTCTTCGGTTATTCTATCTCATTTTAGCTGGTTTGGGTCGGTGCATTTAAATACAAAATCAAGACTCATTAGATCAGTTGAAAATATTTATGTTACTTGTTGTGCTATGAAAGTTGATTCACGTTGGATGGACCACTCACTGCACAAGTCGCCTTTACTTTCTCCTCAACTAAATATATATACAGACTCTCTGCTGGCTGACCTTTTAGCAGACCTTAGAACGAAGATGGCAACCTCGTTAATTAGCTAGCTGAGATAATAATGCACATATGTACTACTGTGCGGTTAGTGGTATCCATTTGGACCAGGTTCTCGTTCTATTCATCAAGATCATAAAAGCAATACGGCCTATTGTTGTGGTATTAAATTCTAAAAAAAAAAAAAAAATTAGAGCGACACGACATACCAAATGTAGAGAAAAAGAAGAGGACCAAAATGTACAAAAAAAGCAAAGATGGACCGCAGAGTGAAAGTGTAGTGATATATATAGTATGGTTACGTTGCTGAACAAAAGTTGAATACAGCAATTATCATTTGTCCATAAATGCAACAAATTCTTTCAAATTAATATTAATTTGGTTTAATTTATTTCGAAAGTTGGTTACATCAGTTACTAATTAGTCCTTTAAATAAATTATTAATACCTAATTAGAACTAAATTTTGTTGTCTTTCAATCTTGTGCAAAGTTACCATAAACAACACGGTGAGGATGTCAGCTAACTGATGAAATATGTAGCACATACCTTTGGTTTGTGTTAAGTCCAATGTGACAATCAAGCTCAATTAATGTATTTTTTCACTCATACTTTTTTATTTGGATGATATTGATTTGTGTTTTAGTTAGATGCTACTTAATGTATTCGAATCAGTAATCTCTATTTTCAAGATTGGTGGTAAATGATATTACCATTAAACCAAATTATTTGTCACGTGTTCACTCATATTTAACTGGTTTGTCAGCGAACTTAGAAGGTGTACATGAAAAAAAAAAATGAAGAGAAAAAGCAAACGTCTAGCAAAATCACATAGAAGATAATTCAACCACATTGAGTTAGTCATAAAAAAAAACATTATTAATATTTTGGATTGTCTAGTCAGTCTTCCCCACGGGCTAGGGTTAGCAATATTTCTTTTTTCTCCCTTCATTATTCACCTCTATCTTCAAATTATGTTGCATTGATTGCATGTAACGTAACTACCAAATGCAGTTGATTCCCTCTCCTGTTGTATATAAAGCTTGGAAGGGCACTAGCGTGTAGCAGTAACCCATATCCCTTTTGACTTTTGAGATAAAAATAAAAGATAATAATGTTACCTGAGCCAAATTATATGATTAAGCATATATAAAATTAGTTGCTGTATTTTTTTAATATTAAAGCTGGGTTTTATATCTCAACTCTCAAGCCCAAGTTGAGTGTAAATATGTACTGAAGCAAAAAAAAAAATACTCACACTCGATCAGTTGGTAGTCACATCTTATACCTTCTGCGGGAAACCAGAACTTTATCAGATTCAGCCTTTTCCTTTTATCCATTTGGAGAATGAGAACAACTGGCAGTTCCCTTTATCCAGCTTGCTAGCCTGCAGTCTAGTGCTTCTATTAATTCTGTTACATCTATAATCAGAAAACCAAGTGGACTCGACCATGTTGCAATGTGATCAAGTTTCCTTCCTATAAAGACCGCGCAGCTCTAGCAGCAAGGATGAAAACAGTAAACAGTACTACATCTGAAGAAATTCTGAATCAACAGCAGCTTCACTTCCCTATTGCTTTCCCCGCTCTCTCTTCTCCTTGATCTCTTCTTCCCTTCTTTTCCGTCCTTTTGTTTTCCCTCTCTCCGTCGCCGTCTATCCCACCGCCACAACTACTCCATCCTCTCTCCACTGGCAAACCCCAAAGCCACGCTGCTCGTCGGACCAGGTTCTCCCTCCGGCATTACCTTATAATAGTACGTACAATAGTATCCCTTCTTAGTCTAAGATATTAGAATGTTATACTTGTCTACATTGCTTTTGTTACCCTAACCATACAATCCAATACGTGACACATTCCCCTTCCATTTGTGATAGATAGGCAACGGAATGAGTACGAAATTTGCTCAGTTTCGTCAGTCCCTGAGGATCTACTACGACCAAGCACTGTGTGCTATGTGGTCTGTACTAAAACTGTCGAGGATGACGTTGCTAGCCATCCTCGCTTCCTACCCGTTCTACCTATACGGCTACGGTACGTAATTACAACGTTGATCTACTTTTATTTTTATTTCATCATAACTGAGTTGGTGAGTATGTATTCATAGTATGAACGTACCCACTTTAGTGATGGATTTTCACTAAGAATGAGGGTATACCATTCTTTTGAACAATCCTTACAAAATCCACCATATGAGCAAAATCCATGCTTCTTTTTATGTTTGGCACAAATTGTCAAACAACGCCTATGTTGTTGTCTGTTAGTTTTAGAAACTATGCTTCTGTGGTATCTTTGTGTTATTTGGCTGTTAGTTTAAGAAACAATGCTAGGGTACGGTTCTCTTTTCTCAGAAGTCAGAACTACTAGAGTTGGTGGACCCACAGGTAGTAAATTTTGGTGACTAAGATAGATACCACATAAGAAACTTTTTCCCCGTCTTGCCCTCTATTTAACAGGAAACGATTTCTTATCCCTGTTTGTTCTCCCAAAAAAAAAAAAAAACTTGTCCTCGAGAATTAATCATCCTTAAGGGATTCGAACTAGTCAACTAGAAGTTTGATAAGTCACAGAAAGCTTGTTGAGCGACCTGAAACCCCCTTTTTTTATAGGACAACTAAAAAACAGAGCCCCACCCAATTGAAGAGCAAAGCAATAACTAAAGCCATTTTTTTTGTGGTACCACGTACATAAATGCAGATGTTGCGGTGATGCGAGCTACAAGCTCGATCATCGACGACCTCGACCTCAGCAAGAATGATCTCGACTTGTTTACGATCTGCGCGAACAAGGGAGCTTACGCCCTAGGCGCTCTGGTGACAGGCTTCACGGCCAACTGCCTCTGCGGCCGGAGGTACTTTCTCGGAGTTGGAGGTGCGATCTACTTGGTAGGGGCTCTCCTAGTCGCGCTCAGTGACAACTATGGCGCGTCGATGTTTGGACGTACCATGACGGGCTTCGGCGTTGGGATGGGCCTCCTCATCGGGCCCATCTTCATCGCCGAAACCGCGCCCTCCACCACCCGCGGCTACCACGGCACCATCCCCCAGGTAACATTTCCTTCCTTTAATATCCACATTATAAATAATTAATGTCCTGGTCCCACTTTTTATATTTTTTTTTTATATCATAGTCGGGATACTAGGATTAGGATAGTAACATTCAGGATATTACCATTGATTGACAAGTGAAATTCGATTTTGATGGCAGGTGCTGATGGCTGCTGGGACGATGTCAGCATATGCGGTGGAGTCCGCGCTCGTGTGGGCTCCACAGCATATAGCTTGGCGCGTTACAGTGGGGCTCACCACGCTGCCCACGGTGGCTTTCGTGTACTACACCCTGGCCCGGCTGGCCCACGACACGCCCTGCTGGCACATGATGTGTGGCCAGGTCAGCCTGGCGGAGGAGGTAATGGAGAGGTGCGGAGCCGACGGGACCGAGCCCTACCACAGGAGGGAGCAGCTCCAACATGTCGCCGGGTTCGCGCTGCACTCCATCGTCGATCGCCGCCGCGTGGAGCTCTTCCCGAGGAGGATCCCCGGGTTCTGGAGCCAGGCGTTTGAGCGATGCCGTCCCCTGATTCGTGACTTGTTCACCACCATGGGGTTGCTTGTGGCCCAAGAAGCCACGTGCGAGCAGCTGACCCTCGTCCGTTTCGTCCCTCTGATCCTCCTTCGAAACGGGCTGACTTCTCGGCTGTGGTCAGCGTTGGGTGGTGTGATGCTGGCGGTAATCAAGCTGCTGTCCACGCTGGCGGCAATGGAGGCGGCGGGTTGGTCGATGGCGGGGCGGAAGAGGCTGCTGCTTGTGAGCTTTGGCGTGGTTGGGTGCGCGATGGGATTCCTCTGTGGCACCAGCTTCGCCGATTCGCGCGAGCGGATCGTTGGTGGCACGGCCTTTGCGTTGAGTTGCTTTGGGCTGGTCATACTGGAGGCGGGGATGGCCTTTGGGCTTGGGCCCATACCTTGGATGTATGGGCCGGAAATGTTTCCTCTTGCGGTACGTGCACCCAGCCTCGGTGTTTGCCTTGCTTTTAGATTTGCAATTGGCATACTTTTGGAGATGACTCTTCCTTTGCTGTACTCCTCGTTTGAGAGGATTTGGTTGCGGTTTCTGTTCGGTTGCGGGGCTGCAGTGGTTGGCTTTTCACTCTCCTGTAGGTTCGTCAGGGAGACTACAGGTGGAGTGCTTGCCGATGATCCAGTAGATTAGACTAGACGATTCCGCATTTGAGTCAGTGTGTCTTGAATGGAAAGTAGAGTTCTGTTTACGTCTTTCTAACTGTGTTGACGACTTTGCTTGGGTAACAAGCTACTGTTTGACTTCCACTGTAATCAGGCCTTCCGTTCTCCGATTCTGCCCTTTACAGTACAGCCTTCTCAATTAAACCATGTTAGTTGACTTCAAATCAAGGGCAAGTGGACAACCGCAAGCGCCACTCATTCCAACAACCCAATCTGCTTTCACGACCTCTCATCACAGGCTAAAAGCCCAAATGTAAAAAAAGAGGCTAATAGCCCAAGAACCGTCCAGAAGGAAAGTTAAACGAAGGCTTCGAACCCACATGTGAGAAATAAATGGGAGCCCAGCCCAGTCATGTCAGGCCCAGAAAGATAGGTATTTGACCAAATTCTAATGGGCGTGTTCGATAATCTTTTTAAACCCCGAAATGCCCAAAACGGTAGTGCATAAAGGGAGTGCCAATTAAAAGGAAAGACATCCTAATAAATATACAAATCGAATAAGGAAAATGATGAATGGCCCATGATCATAGTTAGTAAAATACGGTACGGGAAAGTTACGTAAAAGATACGTACGGGCATTATACTTCATCTTTAAGCTAAAATTACGTTTAATAGTACGTTAATAGTCATAAATATATAAAATTAATCATTTTAAAAATAAATAAATATATAAATAATAATAAAGTTAACAATTTAATTCGTAAAATACGGATAATAAACGTGTTATACGGGTTTTATACGTGTTTAGTACGGGAACCATGAAATGAACGGGGGGAAATGAAACGGCTTGACAATAATACGGATACGAAAGTTTTAAACGGATAAAGTACGTACGGGTACATATACGTGTATTAAACGGAGTATTTACTAACTATGCCCATGATTGAGGATTCTCATATAAGGTTTGAGGAAGGAATGCAATAAAAAAATAAAGATATTGTACGTGGGCGCATCTTTCTCTCGGCTCATATTCCCAAAATAATTAAGGCCACAAAATCTTCTAATAAGGAAGTACACAAATTTATAACATAAAAATATGCTCATAATTATAAATTATTCCAATTTTATCTGTGTAGCAATTTAAATTCATTTGTGGCAATTTTCCAATAGTTCACATAATATTACAGAAAGTAAAAACTAATAAGAAAGAACAAATTAAGAAAACCTCATTAAATTGAAGATATTTATGTACGAAATTACTATTGATTTCTTACTAATCGAGAATCATAGTTCCCTCACTATATATAAGGGCCGCGGACGCATTGCAATCGCGTACAGAAACTAAGGCAACTAGCTAGAGTCGAAGAGGAATCATGGTGGGAGGCAATTCTTCGAGGAACAACGTCATGGCGACGTCGGTGCTGATCGTGCTGCTTCTGCTAGTGGCCTGCCAGGATGCTACTGCAAAGAGTGCATTCATCATATGTTACGACAAATGCATTGAAGCTTGTGGATCGACGATTGGCGGAACGACTTGTGACTTAATATGCCAGGATAAGTGCAGGCCAAAAGCAAAATCGCAAGTTCGTCATTCACAACCTATTCAAGATGCGCGTTACAAAAGGACCAGTCACTTTAAGGGTTTTCGTCATTAGGGCTCTATTTGTTTACTGGTTACATGTCTTTGTAATGCGTTTGCTAAAAAAAGGTAATAATAAGATAACCACGCCTTGTCAGCTTCGTTACTCTTTTTTTTTTCCTTTCCTTAGTGAATTAAGCAAGTTTTTTCTTTGAATTATATGATCATATAATGTTGTCGTCAGGGCCCTAAACTGATGCTATCAGTTCCATTACTTTAATTAGTGATTTGTGTCGTCTAGTTTTGCAATGCTGAGTTGCTGACAAGTTTGATTTTGGATGAATGGCGTTATCGATCTCCACCAAATCTGAAATTTCTTCAGTTTAAAATCACGGCTTGCACCTCCAGGAAGTCTTCAATGACAATGAATGGACGACACTTTTCATCTCCTTGTTCCAAGATGTGAACGATGTAACATCTCTTAAACTAGAGTCCTACGTCATCCGGGTAATCTATGTCTGTTGTCTTTGTAATCAAACTGTTTCTCCAAGGGATATGACCTTAATGTTTTAAGTCGGATTCTGAGTTTCTGGAACGATAATCCTCTCTTTTTAGGAGATTCAAGTCCTTAATCTTGAAGGCTGACAGTATGCCTTTCAAGCTGGTCAATTGCTTTCTTAGGGGTGTTGTCTGAAGTCTGAACCCAAACGTAGTGTTTTTGTGCAATCATAGGTTTTGAGGAAATGCAATCAAATTTATAGAATTTATTCTTTGAAGCGAATTTATAGATTTAGTAACTGGGACATATCTTTCTCGACTCATATATATCGATAAAAGGTGATAAAAATCTTCTAATAAGGAAGAAGATACTAATAAATCAATTCATTTTTTCTTTTTGTATTCAATGTCTCTAATTGATAATTAATTTTCTGATACTGCGTATATGTATTATTATAGAAAGCGACAATTAAAGAAGAAGAAAATTTCATTTGTACAAATTGAAAACCATTTTATAATTTCGATTTTTTTACCACCCGTAGTATATTAACTTTCTGATCTTGCCTATATATACTAGTGAGTTCTTACTAATTGGGAATCATAGTGCGTACAGATATCTATCTCGCATTTATTACTTTCTTTTTTTCCTCTCACATTTATACTCCCACATTATACATGGTTGACATTAATTGAAGCTTAATTATCCAAATTCCATTATTTACCACCGCAACGGCCTGAGAAAGAGTTGACTCATGGTTGTGAGCAAAAGAAAGTCACTGGTAGCATGTTAGCAAAGCTCTTATGCTACAGTAGCTCCCTTATCAATTTAAATATATTATTATTATTATTATTATTATTATTATTATATAGGATATGCCCTCAACGAAAATTAAAGAAGATAGCATAAATTATAAAAAAAACAAACAGACATCTCACTAAATTCCTAATGGGTTAAGTAATTAACTGAGAAAAAAGTGCTTGCAAGTTACAATTATACCATTTAATTGGGAAAAAGGTGTTTAAAATTACGACACACCCAGACAACTCAAGATAAGGTGCATAATTATGAGTAATTAAATCTGTATCCTTCTTTTAAGTGATTTTAGATCTAAGGATGGAGAATTAAAAGAATTTATTTTTCCTAGTTTCCTTGATTGGGTCATATATTCTTCATTCTAACTCGGATTTCAACTTTTTTTCCACAGACGGAACGAGTTCGTTGTGATCTACAAAATTCTATCCATTTTCAATAATTTTTTAGCAAGCTAACCAACCCCAAACTTATGGACCATGTTTCAAAAATACAAAAAGAATCCACGAAGGCACGAACAGCTCACTAAATTCCTAATAATGCGGCAAGTAATTAATTGGGGGAAAAAGTGCTTACAATTATGCTAATTAATTGGAAAAAGGTGCTCAAAATTATGATACGCTAGCTCATATTAGTAAACTCGTTAAGTAAACTTATCATTTATATAGACTAATTACTTAATTATCAATAATAATAATTAGAAGGTATGAGTGAAGGAAGGAAAATTATAAATGACCGCGTATTTAAATTTATGGATTTTCTTATAAGTTTTTCCTGTGGGAATTTTCTTTTAAGTTTTGAGGAAATACAATTAAATCTACAGATTTTGTACCAAGTCCAATATTAAGGTAACAAAATCTTGAAAATTATGATAAAGGAAGAACAATGAATTTCTGTAAGAATTTATTTCAAATTGCTTATATACTGTTATAGAAAGTAATAACAAAGAACAATGAATCTCTCATTAAATTTGAAGCCATATTGTTGATTTCTTACTATTGGGAATCATCTGATAAATTCCTTTTCAGATTGGCATCAATTACTTCCCGCAGTATATAAGGGCCGAGGATGCAGAGCAATGCTATTCCCATAGAGAGTTGAAGCCCAAACAAAGAATATAATTCTCTATCTCTATGGAGGGAGGCAGCAGAAGGGTGATGGCGACGTTGGTGCTCGTGGTTTTGCTGCTGCTGGCGGCGTCCGAGGACGCTTGTGGAAAGAGCCAGTTCGACATATGTTTAGAAAACTGCTTGAAAGACTGTGCACCCAATATAAGCGGATCGGTCTGTGAGGTTCTGTGTCTGGACAAGTGCAGGCCACATAAAACAGAATCACAGCCTATTCAAGCTCCGGGCTACTTCGTCAAGGGACTTCGTCATTAGTTAGGCTATTTTTATGTATTGCTTATATGATCTGCTCGAAGAATGTAATAGCTATAATATACAATCATATTTTGTGGGATGAATCTGTTGGATATGGGTGAAGCACTTCATCATTATCCAAAAAAAATTTAGCACACATATCGTGAGTGAGTAGGAATCAGTACAAATCTGAGTAATATCGTCGTACAAAAAGAGAATGTAATTAAGTAGTGAAGGGAAATAATTGTTTTATAAATTGACATAAAAGAGTTGTTCTCCCTATGACATCTTCTCAACTTGGGCATAGCATATATCTTTATAAAGATATAGGAAAAAAGAAGTTGTAAATTGGACTTATCAGTTCCATATACTACTTGAACTACTTTTAGTGATCACGAATGGAATTAAATATTTTTAGTGACCAAACGTGAACCTTTTTGGTAAACCAGTGACCAAACTTGAACCTTTTTTGTAAACCAGTGACCAGACTTTCAATTTACCACTCATAAAATTTTTACTTTTTTTTTTATCTAATGTTCTATCTAAACTTCAATATACTTTCATAAAAAAAATCAAATATACCGGTCTTCAAAGAGTCGTTTGCATGAGTCATTTGTTCAAATGTAGACATTTGCAAATGCATTGTTTATTTAACTGTTTTTAGATGATTCATTTATAAATGAGTAATTTGTATAATGTTACCATTTTGCCTTACATTTAATATTTTATTATCTTGTTTCCTATTCTTATAAAACCAACCACGTAATAAAACCATTTTGCAACCAACAAAACATATGATTACGAGTCATGTTACTTTCTAATATTGAATAATATTTTATATTAAATTTATTTATACAAGGTAACGGCTCAAGAAGTCTCACATTTGCGCTAATTACAACTTATTCTTGAATGCGACAACTTCGATGACACGAAAAGTTAGAGTCACGAGAAAATGATCGAGATGATAACATAGATGACCTTCCTCGTCGCTTGTGAAATTTGGCAAAAAGAATTTTTTTTGGTGATAGACGAAAAAATGGTATGGGCAATTAGTAATAAAAAGGCAAGAGTAAAAGTGGGTTTATGAAAAAGTGATAAGGACAAAATTGAAAAGTTGAACTAAAATATTGAGTCATTTGGAAATGGCTGAAGCCTGAAGGCATTTGGAAATGACTCGATAGAGTCATTTGAAACTTTCATATGAGCCAAATGATTCATACATTTTTTTGTCGGCAAATTAGTTATTCGGTAACAAATGACTCATTCAAATGACTCAAACCCCAAAATTCGAACCGGTTAAATATTTGTTATTTTTCCTAATATACCAACAATGAAGTGCCATGTGGCAGATTTTTTCTCAGGCTCAGGGCAGAGAATCAGCCATTGAGCTGGCCAAAATTATGCTTTCGGTTTTTGGTAGTTTTTGAACAAATGCAGTTTTACATTTCCCTCCACACATCTCTTATCCTCTTGCATATCTCTCTTTGTTTCCATTCTTCCTCGCCGTTCTTTTCTTCCAAGAAGGCATGAGAGGCAAGATCAAAATGAAACCCATCAACAGAATCCTTAAACCCACCCCCAGCTTCATTAAAGCAGAGTAATTTTTTTTGGGTTTTCCGATGGCTACCAAATTGGCTTTCAGTTTGTCATCCCCTCGATTCTCCACTGCTCCCATAAGCAAGCCTTTCATTTCTTCATCTTCTTCCAAGGTTCACCCTGTTCAGTCGATCAGTGGGAGAAGACATGCTTGCCTACGGAGAAGGATTTTCTTGGTTCCAGTCAAGGCTACTGCTGATCAACAAGGTTTGTTATTTTCAATGAGAAAATTCCCTATCAGCTAAACTCCCAAATGGAACTTTTGAGTTTTTATTTGGTGGCGCCGTGGCGGTGATAAAGATCGATGCTTTATGAGTTTGGGTCGAAGGATTTCTCAGTTTCCATCTGACTGGACACAATTTGGTCATCCATTGAGTAATTGGTCACTAGGATTATGGATTATCGTGAATTGATTCATGGAATTAGCATAGTTTTCTCCTTTTCGGGCTTGATTAGTGGTTGATATCGTCCTGGAATTAACTGACGATGGTTTTCATTACCGTCTATAGTAGGTTAGTCAAATCCTGAGAAGTGGTTGCTTAGAAGAATTGCATGTTCTTCAAATTTGCAGGTCAGGTGCAAGAAGATGAAGTAGTGGACAGCAAGATTCTGAATTACTGCAGCATAGAACAGAAGGACAAGAAGTCAATAGGAGAAATGGAGCAGGATTTTCTTCAAGCACTACAAGTACATTTCTTCTGTTCTTAATTGCCCCTCTAGTTTCCATGATTCCATCAAATGAAGTGGTTTGATGTGGAGGACAAAATTCTGTGTCTTTCTTGCAGTCATTTTACTATGAAGGAAAAGCGATAATGTCTAATGAGGAATTCGACAATCTCAAGGAAGAACTAATGTGGGAAGGAAGCAGTGTTGTTATGCTATGTAGGTGAACTAATCATCATGTTTTGCCATGATGTCTCTTTACCATTTGGCTCGAAATCCCTTTTATTCTTCTCTGAATTTGTTGTCACTTTTGCAGCTGCTGATGAGCAGAGGTTCTTGGAAGCATCGATGGCCTATGTGGCTGGGAACCCAATTATGAACGACAAAGAATTCGATAACCTGAAACTGAAGTTGAAGGTTTGTACTATGATGATGATGCATTATGTGTGAAGTTGCGTTGTATTGTATGCCTTCTTGGTACCTGAAAGGGGGCTGATCAACGTACTTACTAATTAATCCTTGTTACTAATGATACAACGAAATGCTGAATTGCCCGACTAACATCCGAAAGAAGCCTTGCTTTTGGTTGTCTCATGTTCTGATTTGTGCCATTTCCAGACAGAAGGAAGTGACATTGTTGTTGAAGGTCCAAGATGCAGTCTTCGCAGCAGAAAGGTGTGCATTTGCCTGGTTTATCACCAGTCTACCCTTATCGTCGCTTGCATTTGCACGGATCCCAAAATCAATTGAGCAAACTACCTCCACTGGATTCTATTACTTAGCAAATATGCTCAATTCTCTACTGCAGGTCTATAGTGACCTCAATGTGGACTACCTCAAAATGCTCCTTCTGAATGTTCCGGCTACTGTTGTCGCACTTGGCTTGTAAGTCTTCTAACTCGCTAAAACCTCTATAGCATTAATCAACTTTGTACCTATGGCAGTCCTATAGCTATAAATCTGGAACTGGAGAAATTCTCCCTGATACAACCTGATTTATTAAGTGATTTCGGTTGTGGTTACCTGCAGATTTTTCTTCTTGGATGATGTGACTGGCTTTGAGATCACATACCTTCTGGAAGTAAACAACATTAACCTTGTTTTCTCGAGTTCCTTTCATATTCTTCAAAACATATTTCTTTTGGTTGTAACTTTCCGGCAAACATCTGTTGAGTTGTGCAGCTTCCTGAGCCATTCAGTTTCATCTTCACCTGGTTTGCTGCTGTCCCTCTCATAGTCTGGTCAGCTCTAACCCTTACAAACGCAATCATCAAGGATTTCACCATCCTCAAGGTATGTATATGAGATTTCCAAGTTACTCAACATCTCTTCATACTAAACTCGTCTCGCTCAGAATCCTAGCGCAGAACATCCGTCTTCCAATTGTCTCTATTTGATTCTCTCTCTCTCAGGGCCCTTGCCCAAACTGTGGCACTGAGAACGGGTCTTTCTTTGGGAGCATACTTTCCATTTCCAGTGGCGGCACTACCAACAACCTCAAATGCTCCAAGTAAGCCCTCTGGTCTCCCTCATCATCAATCAGCTGACTCCCATTTTAGTGCTTACAAAACAACTGCTAGTCCCCTGCAACTCATATGCTTGCTCTATTGCTCGCATGTTACAACAGTTGTGGAACTCCAATGATCTATGATGCCAACACGCGGTTGATCACTCTACCAGATTGAAGCCTGGTTTGAGATGGTAAAGAATGTGCTCTCTTCTTTTAAACCTTGCCTCTTCATCCATTCTATTTGTACTTGCGAGACTATGAACCGATGTATCGATATTGTTTGTAGGACCGTGCATGGTTCGTTAAAAGGAAACATGATGCCTAGGGTGGAGAGTTTTGAAGCAACAGGAAGTGGAAAGGGAAACTGAATTTCACATTGGAAAATAGGTTGTATAGTGAGGCATTGAGGGGATCTGTTGAGGTTTTTGTTGCCAAAATGGATTCGATCATAATGAAGTCTGACTTCAATGTCTATAATGGTACTTTATAAGGCTGTACCTTTGTAAATTTGTCTATACCCATCTGTCAGCTATAGTCCCTCATATTCACCCTAGGTAGTTGAAGCCGAGCTACTCCGCGGCACAAGGTCAGAGAGTCTTTGTTGGTCTCTCTGATCATTTGCCGGTGTTAATCATCTTACCAAGACTAGCATATGAATAGTGACTTGAGCAAATGGGTATGGTAACTTGAAACAGAGAAAACGAAAGTTACCAATTCAGCAGCATGACTGCCGTAAGCAGTGTACTCTACACCTTGAATAGATTAAGAAGCTTTTCTTTAATATTCTGTAGATGAAGATGCAAACCACTTGCTCTGAAGTGTAAACCAGAATTAAATAAATTGTTTCCCACAATTGGACATCTCAGAAACTTCTCCCGAAGACCCGAACAGTTCCAATCCACTGGCTTGTGCTTGTTAGATTGTTTTCGTGGGTAAGAAGGTAACTGACCACTCCAAACCACAGAGCTATCGTCGTTATTGGTAGTTAGAGAATGTGAACTATAGGGGAAAACCCTCGTGCTCCCAAACCTTCCAGTCAACTCAACCCTCCATCTCTTCAACACCCAACAGTGTTATTCCCAGGTTGGTGCAATGCAAAGCAACCAATCATCACGTGAATGCAATACCCACCTTTCCCCATTTCATTTTTTGTTTGGTTGGCTTAGGCTCTACCAAAACAAACACCCACTGAATTCCTTCAGAACCAAAAAAGTTCACTCCTTTATAAAAACCCTTCACCACCCAACGACCTTAAACACCTGGCCAACACTTCTCCACACTTCTTCCCCTCCTTCTGTCTCTTCACATCTACAACAATGGCAGCGGCTTCAGTAGCTTCAAGAGTCGAGAGCTTGGCAAGCAGTGGGATCCAATCCATCCCCAAAGAATACATCAGGCCGAAAGAAGAGCTTACGAGCATTGGTGACGTGTTTGATGAAGCGAAGAAAGAAGAAGGGCCTCAACTCCCCACCATTGATTTGAAAGGCATGATGGATTCGGAGGACAAGGCGGTTCGGGACGAATGCAGGGCACAACTTATCAATGCGGCTAAAGAGTGGGGGGTTATGCACCTGATCAACCATGGGATTCCTGATGATCTGATGGAGTCTGTCAAGAAAGCCGGTGAGGGTTTCTTCGAACTTCCGATAGAGGAGAAGGAGAAGTATGCAAATGATCAAGCTTCGGGAAAGATTCAAGGGTATGGAAGCAAGCTTGCTAACAATGCTAGTGGGCAGCTTGAATGGGAGGACTACTTCTTCCACCTTGTCTTCCCTGAGGACAAAAGGGACCTCTCCATCTGGCCCAAGAACCCCACTGACTACACGTAAGTCCCAATCGAATACTACTTTCATTCCATAATCATAAGCAAGCAGAAAATGAGTTGAGATATGCCACTAAAAATGACTGAATCTTCTGCAGCGAGGTGACTAGTGAATATGCAAGGCAGCTGAGAGTGCTAGCGACCAAAATTCTGTCAGTTCTATCACTTGGCTTGGGCTTGGAAGAAGGGAGGCTAGAGAAAGAAGTTGGAGGTATGGAGGAGCTGCTGCTTCAGATGAAGATCAACTACTACCCCAAATGCCCTCAGCCAGAACTCGCCCTAGGCGTCGAAGCCCACACCGACGTGAGCGCCTTAACTTTCATCCTCCACAACATGGTCCCTGGCCTGCAACTCTTCTACGAGGGCAAATGGGTGACTGCGAAATGCGTGCCAAACTCCATCATCATGCACGTTGGGGATACTGTTGAGATCCTGAGCAATGGCAAGTACAAGAGCATTCTCCACAGGGGACTTGTTAACAAGGAGAAGGTCAGGATCTCGTGGGCGGTCTTCTGCGAGCCGCCCAAGGAGAAGATCATACTCCAGCCGTTGCCCGAGGTGGTTTCGGAGAAAGACCCAGCTCTGTTCCCTCCTCGCACTTTTGCTCAGCACATAGAGCACAAGCTGTTCAGGAAGAGCCAGGAAGGGAAAAAGGAAGAAAAGGATGCCCTTGTTTCCAAATGAAGACCCTTCCTCTCCATCATCACTACACTTGATACGGTTTCCTGCTTTCCTTTCTGCTATGAATTTCCCTCCCAAGTTTGATGACTATTGTGCTGTGTTGTATAATGGAAGGTCAGGATACCATCCATTTTATGTTTTTCTCCATTGAAATCTTTTTGTTCTTTTGGCATTTGGTTTTGTTCAATAAGAAGATACTCATCACTCCTTAGCTAGTACCAGTCCAATTTTGGTACTTTACTGAAGGAGAGGGTACCCATGAGCTGATAGAGTCCGATGTCACTCTCTTTCGATCTCAGTCGTTCAATGTTATGCCATGACAGAACCCTAAATAATGCAACCTTGTGCATCCAATAGCTTAAATCGCACCGGTGAATTCCACCAATGTAAACCCTACATTCACGCTCCCTGTTAGCGTATTAAATAGATTGGATCTTTAGCCGTATCGGATAAAGAGAGCTCTGATATCACGTCACAAATCAATTCAAATTGCACAATGCCAAACCTTATTTCAGCAAGAGGCTACATTGGCTACATCAATAAGAAACAACATTTCGGAATTAGGGAATTACCCGCTTTTCGCAATTCAACCAAAAGCATTGAATTGTCATCTCGAAGTGGAGTTGAATCAATCTATGACAGGTGAAATCAGAGGTTGGCCGGCGAAGAAGGCCTTTAGATTCCCAATCACCACATCCTGCAAAGTTCCGATGGACTCTGGGGTGACCACAGCGCTGTGCGGCGACAACACGACGTTGTCCAACGCGAAGAGCTCCTTGGGCACGTGGGGCTCGTCCTCGAACACGTCCAGGCCGGCGCCACCGAGGTCGCCCCGGAGCAGAAACTCCACGAGCTCCTTCTCGTCGACTAGCGACCCGCGGCCGACGTTGATGATCACTCCTTGCTTGCCTAACACCGTCATGACTTCACCGTTGATCACGTGGAAGGTCTCGTCGGTCAGGGCGCAACACGCGATCAGAACGTCGCTGTTGGCCGCCAGATCGAGAGCGGTTTTGTAGAATGGAAATGGCAGAGAAGGCTTCTCTTTTCTTGAACTATAGCGGATTTGGCAGCCGAAGGCGGCGAGCCGAGTCGCTATCGCCGAGCCGATGCGTCCGAGTCCCAGAATTCCGACTCGTTTTCCGCTGACCTGAGTGTAGGAAGAAGAATGGCGCGATATTCAGTTCCGGACACCGGAACAGAGAGTCAAATTCAGCAGAAATTGGGGACCTTTACAGACAAAAAAAAGACAAAAGAAAGTTTCGAAACGCACACCTTGGAGCCCAGCGGGTAATCTCCCTTAACGGGCCAGGACCCGGCCCGAACGTAGCGGTCAGCGGCCGAGACTCTCCTGAGAACATCAATCAGCAGGGCGACGGCGTAGTCTGCCACGTCCTCCGCGAAGGCGGAGCCGGCGTTGGTGACGACGATGCCTCTCTGCCGGCACTCGGGGAGGTCCACGTGGTCAACGCCGACGCTCGAGCAGACGACGATTTTGAGGGAGGGAAATCGATCGAGGAATTCGGGGGTGACGGGCGGCGGCGGGCCGACGCAGAGGATTGCGGAGGCGGATTGGAGATTCGAGGCGTCAGTGGTGAGGAGATCGAGGAGGCGGAAGTGAGTGGGCAAGCTGGGGAAAAGGCTGCCAGTGAAGGTTGGGAAACGGTGGATTAGAACGACGGGGAGGGAATCGTCGCCGTCGTGAGCTGTGGCTGAGAGTGCAGGCGGTGATTGATTGGTTCCGGTGACTGCCATTTTCCGGGACAGCCGGCGGGCTCTGTATTTGGTTGAGAGGGATTAATCTGGGAGAGAGTAAACGAAGATGAATTGGGTTCTTCAGTGAGGATTGGATAGCTGGACGAATGTGCGGAAGGAAAAATGGCGGAAAGACGTTTTTAGCCCTTTAGCGGTAACAACTAACACGTAAGAAAAGGGTTAATAATCAAAATGGTCACTCAAATCAGCTATATGTCATATTGGGTACACAACTTTTCGATATATAACAAATTAAAGTATCATACACGCTTGATAGTTGATACTCCTATTTGTGTATCATTCAATTGCTGGCGCTTTTTTAACTTGGTCAAGTTTTTATGGTTTAAATTTTAAACTCTGACCTGTTATATTTTGTATTATGGAATTAGTTACATCCATAAATTGTTATTTTCTACAAAAATAACAGTACCATTATTCTGGTAGAATCCATCTAAAGGTATTTTGGCAATCATTAAAAGTTGTTTAAATAATTTCTATTTCGCTATGATGTACAGATAAAGGTATCATGATGGATCAATAGTGCACACATGTGACAACTTAGAATTAAATATACACAATTCAATTATGATTTAACTGTTGATTTATCATCAACCAAACAAAAAGGAGGTAATATGAGATTTGTGTGCTCCACTCAACTTCTTGAAACCTCATTGAAAGCACAAATGCATACTTCTCTGTGCCTCGAGTGATTTTCTAGTTTATGTTATACGATCGGGAGAATTTTATGAGAAGAATTAAGTGTTTTAAATTTATGGATATAGTAGATAAATAGAAGGGATTATATATGATTTGGACATTGATCGTTATGCAATCTCTTATAATTGTTTTTGTTTTCAATTTGTTATCCAATCTCTTATACTATATTGAAATAGTTGATTTCCACGTAAATCGATATCTAAGTTATTTCCCGATTCTCCCATTCGAATCATTAATTTCTGCATTCTCTAATTTATTTCGATCATGATGAGCCGATGAATTTAACCAAAGTCATGCCATGATTATCACATCCAATTAGGATACCAAGGTTGAGTTATTCATCACCATTGTCACCATGATGATCAAGAGGTATGTGGCAAAGAGTATTCATATATATACACCCAAATTCAAAGAACACGCATTCTGAATCCATCTGGAAAAAAAATCCCTGCATTCATGTTGGAGCCACAAATACCAAATGGTAGCATGGGGAGTTGGGAGTTGCCATAACAAGTTCAGCCAAGATATTGGACCGTAGAAGCAACTGTGATTTGATGCCAAATAATGCTACCGGCACACAAAAGTAACACACATGACCAATTGATTCATTTGCTCTATCTCTTATTGCATCTACAACATCTGTTAGCAAATAATCCATCCTTTTTTCTTCAGAATGTCCAAACTAAGTAACTACCCTGCTACTGCTAAGAGTTAGCAACCATAAAAAGAAGCAAATTTTAGGAGGAACATGGGAAAAAGAAGAACAACAACCAAGTCAGACAGACCTCTTACCACCAAAAAACACGAAAGTTTGGAATCAAACCCACGAGATCGATAGCTAGCTAGATAGCCCAGTTTGGTTTTTTGAGGCCTCATGATTCAGTGATAATGAGGCTGTCAGCTTCTGTTGCAGTTGAGCTGCATCAATGCTTCTCCCATCGCACACCTGCACGAACATTCAAAACGCAAGCCTGTCAGCCATGGCATTCCATTATTAACTCAGTACTTAATCCCTTCATTTGATCTTCTCTGGTGTATATACCTTAGCCTGAATACTGTGCATCATCTTATCATCCACTCTAGTAGAAATGTAGCTCACAATGTCGAGCCCTTGTCGAATCAGAGCTCCAAAAACTACAGAAACACCACCAGTAGTACTCTTCTGATCATCATTGGTAATAATGCTACTTCTTTTCGTGACCAACCCGATTTCCATAGCAACAACTTCCCCTCCAACCAAACAAGGCTTCACGGTAATCGCACGGTCCAGATAATTACTAGTGATTATGCATGATGGGTTCTCTGCTGTAAGAATGAGCTCATCTCTCTTGCCAGTCAGCTCCCGGATCTTGGCTTCCTTATGGCATATGTAAATGGCGGCCTGGTTGACTTGGTCAGACATTGACCTCTTCCCCTATACGACCATCAAACCAGAAATCAACAACCATTAATTAATAACAACTAAAGTGTCTAATCGATCTAGTTAATTAATTAATAGCTAGTTTAGGGTCGTTGAGTTGACCTTGAGATACTCAATGGGAAGGAGAGAGCGGAGAGAAGCGTGGAGAGCTTTGGTATCCTGCCTTCTTTGCCTCTCAACATCTCTATGCATCATCTTTCTCGTCACCTTCTGCAGGCTCTCATTCTTATCATCATCGCCATCTTGCAGTTGCTCTTGATGATCCTCATCATCATCCTCGCCGCCGGGGAAAGCCACCGATGATTTTCGCCTTCTAGGGCTCATCGTAATCCCGCTGTCACCAACTTCATGATCATCGGCGGCAGGGGCTTGAGGTGGAAGAACGTGATCATCATCCATCTAGACAGTTTGGTTGTGGGAAGTGTCTATATGGCCAAATAGCTAGCTGGAAGGACGTGTATATATATATATATATATATATATATATATATATATAATCATTTCCGGGTTTGGATCTTCGCCTTCTAGCATTTTTCGACTTTTATGTCAGTAGGCATTTTCAATCATACGAAAACGTTTGCAAAAGACCAAGGAGAAAATAAATAAGGAAAAGAAATAATATGAATCGAGAAGGGGAAATAATAAAAAGTACACTCATTTTGTCCATTTTCATTTCCTTCCCTATAATATTCACCCCTCAACTTGGTGCCCTTTCCAAATAGTGTGACCAAATATGGAGATAAAGTAATTATTAATTAATTTACAGGTGGTTTCCAAATCTAGGAGGGGCCTCAGGTGTATAGATTTTGTGACAACATGATTATATTTATTTATTTATTTATTTATTTATTTATTTGAATGAAACATCATATGACTATAACTATTGCATATATAGACAATGACACCTGATAACCCACTTGACTCACTGCCCTGTACAACGGACGGCTACCAGGCTCAGTTAATTAATTGCTTTAAGTAACAGTGGATCGATATGGTTGGTTTGTAGCTAGCTAGTTGGGTTAATACATGTATGTTTAATTACCTTAATTAACAATAATCTCGATCGTAGGTAGCTATGGCTAAGGTATATTGTAGACCTGAGAAATTATAAATTGTTGATTCCGTGACAACGGACTGCATGTTGAGTTGGGGTCGCTAGCTAGTAGGCTGAGTTATTGGAGGTCACAGATCAATATTATAGAGTTCGGATTAGGAGTATATATTCATTTTTCATAAACTACTATTACATATCAGAATTACAATGTCTTACATATGAAATTCTGATTACTAGAAATTATTATCTTTTATGTTAATTATAATTAAAGTGGCATTTCGATATGGTACACCTGCTTATTAGGGCTGCATATAAGTGGAGCTTTTGTCAAACTCAAGCTCGTCAAAGGATACCTCAGCTCGAGTTCGATACAAACTATTAAATTCAGACTCAAGATCAGCTCAACAAAATAAATTGATAGCTCGAGCTCGGCTCAGACCCGAGTCACTAATAATTCCTGAAAAAACTCAGCAAGCCAACTCAACTTAACAAACCAACAATACTACCAATGGATTTACAGTTGTCATTGTCGGTTGCTCTTTACAGCACCAGCTGGAACTATGAATGAGCAACGACGCTTATCCTTGCAATGCTCTGATTCGTGAGGGAAATGCAACAGTGTGAGTTTGAACCCTATCATTGATCTCATCCCTTTTCTAGTTGGCCTTCTTCTTCCGACGAGTTCAAGCAAAAACAAATGAGAGTCATAACAGAAGGCGCAACACGATGGAAGATGTGAGATAGAGTAGATGAAGGAGACAACAAGAGAGAGCAGACTAGGACACGTTTTCAGGGGGAAGGGGAGAGGCGGGTTCAATGGAACAAAAGTATCATCGTCTTCTTCTTTCTGACGTGGTTCATTCTTCTTTACAACTGCTTTCTTACCGGTAATGGAAGGGCGGAGTAGAGGAAGCACTCCCTTCTGCCAGACAGAGCAGATGAAAGGGAGCATCTAGCATAGTCACCAGCAGCGGATCCAGGAAATAGAAGAGCAATGAACCGTATTTTAATAGAAATTAGAAAGTCTAAACAAAAATATATAATAACTATAGTTTTCATTGCAATATCATTTGTACATTACGGTTTATTTAATCTGGCAAATTCATCAATAATGGAGTCTTCATTCATATAATACTAATAGCATATTCCCTCTCAAAGAAAATAGTTAAGTAATCACCGTCAAATTCATCGCTCATTTTGTTGTACAAATCAATTTTCAAATGTTTCATTGCTAGAAATGTTCTCTCCATAGTAGTCATTGAAAGTTGAAACGGGTAAGGTCAACAATAGATTTTTTTTAGAAGATTGGGGGAATTTTTTGAATTATAAGAGGGAAGGTTGAACTTTAGTTAAAGAGACTTTTTTTTATTTCAATGAAACTTTATAATTTTCATCTTGTACGTTTTAGATTTTTAGATTTCATTGATTATTTATCAAATAAAAATTATTGGGGCTAGAATTTCAAGGCTAAATTTAGAGTAATGGTTTGCAAATGTTTATCTAGATTTTTTTTAATTACACAAAATCTTATTATTAAATAATATTAGATTGAATTTTAAATAACACTAAGTCGAATACCTAAAATTAAAAAAGTCATAAATATTATACTAGTTCTGGACCCAGAGGAGGACTGGGCCGTGGCCCGAATCGGCCCTCCTCTAGATCCGCCACTGCTGGTGGTTGCAGAGGAAGATGACAGAGGGAGAGGGGTATGTTTGTTTAGGATTTCGATTTGAAATTCGAAAAGGTTTATTAGGTAAATTGTGCATTAAAATTCGGACGACGATTAATAATTATTTATATAAAAAACTAGCACGTGCTTGTTAGTCTCTTGCATTTTAAACTAAAAACTTGCGCAGGCTATGAATCAACATCACACATGAACAAATGAAGCAACCATGTTGCCTTAATTTAATTCGGAGTAGAAAAGCAAAGGAGTTAATTACTAGCTACAAGGAGCACACGAGTTAAGCATTTTAGTTAACATCAGTTATTCGTCAAAAGGTGAATTTATAAAAGTGTGTCCCGCACTCATCAATACCAACGAGGAAAAGCTGTGTATAATTCCTCCGCCGTTATGTTAATCCAGCCAATAGCTATTTTCCCCAAAAATACCAAATTTGTTAAAATAATTCTCACGATACAACCTTCAACTATTTTTTTTTTTCAAATATAAAAGTTTTGACTAAATCGCTCCATTGTCCAGCGATTTAGAAAGTGGATCAATAAAGACAACAACGATTTAGATATACAGTTAATGTTTGAAGTGATCTGCTATTAATACATGTTGGAATTTTAGACGACCGTAATTTTGTGCTCAATCACACACAAAAAAAAATTGCATAAATTTTCAATTATTACAAATTTTATTAGGGGGTAGTTTTCTGTATGTATATTGAAAATAGCAAAGAAGCTCTAAAAGTATACTAAAAACTGCTAACAAAACTCTATTCTCATTGATTAAGACTTTAAATGAAAATAATCTTGCGCCTGGTTACTCGATGGACGCAATTTTTTGATTTCGCATAGTTTTCCGAGACCTACGCATGGGCAAACGTTGAAGGTTGTTTAGTCCACATTTGTCTTCAAAAATTTCGTTTACTCCCTCATATGAACCATTTTGTGATTTCGTTGAACTTTAGACAATTGTAGTTTTGTGCTATGCCATCCAGTCGGATCAATTTTCTATTTTGCGTAAATTTTCAAGTACTAAAAAATAACTTTTATTGAGGACAATCTTCAAAAGCGGACATACTTTTTGGATTTTAGGGATTTTGTGGATAATTTTAGATGTACTTTTCACCTTTCCTCATACATTATAAAATTTAACCCTAGTAAAAGTTGTAGCTCTCGAAAAATTTGTGTAGAAATAAAAGAGTTAGTGTCGAGTGAATAACTGGATACAAAACTATGACCGTTTAAAGTTCCGACATATATTAATTAGTAGCAAATCGCTTGAGACAAAAAGTAAATAGCTCGAAATAAAAGTGGTGATGGCAGTGGTGGGTCGGGAGGATTTTGACCATAAAATGCACCCACCCGCGCTTAAACGGATTGATAATTTTTAACCCACCACCCACTCACATTTAATCTCAGGTTGGTTCGGGCAGATGGTGGATGATGCGGGTGGGTTTTTGGGTTCAACCACATCACAATGTATATAATATAAAGGAGTCAACTTGACATGATAATAGGTGAAGAGAGTTATCGGGAGGAAACAAGAAGATGCAATAGGGTTGGTCATGGGGCTCACTTTCGATCTAGTTTAGGACACAAAAAAATTATAATACTTATACATAATTCGTAGTGTTCTTAAGTCTAGAACTTAAAGTGGTGATAATTTTAATACTGAGAAATTTATTGTAATCCAAGACTTTTATGAATTGTGGAAATATTTTTTTCGAAAAGTTAAATTAGTTCACAATTCTATTACAATTCTAGTCTCCCTAATTTCGAACTATCATACTTAGACTCTCATTCCAAAATGTTACAATAATTTTCTGGGACAGCCGACCGACTCTGTATTTTGTTGATCGCGATTCAACGGGGGAGCAGAAAACGAACATGAATTCGGCCTTGCCGTAATTCAGTGAGGATAGCTGCTGAATATGAATGTCATAATGTGCAAGAGGAAAATCCAGGAAAGACGTTTAGCCCTTTAGTGGTAAGTGGTAACTTGTAAGAAAAAGGTTATGATCAAGATTCAAAATGGTCACCGAAATAAGCTATACGTCATACGTGACATTGGAAAAGATAAATAATCGAATTGGTCACCGAAATAAGCTTATATGCGAAATTGGGTACTTAGCTTTTGGATATATAACAACTAGTATCATACATAGTCCTCAAGAATTATGTATCAGCTGGCGCTTTCTGCTTCTTTTTTTTTCAAAGATATTCCGGAACGGAATAAGTCAGATACGAATAAGTATATGACCGAAATCGGCCAAATTAAAAAATTAAGCGCGCTGCTCAACAGATGTTGAACCAACGAGAGAGACATTTTTGCCACGATATGGACAGCTCTTGGTACCTTAATGACGTGGACAAGTTTTTATTGTTTAAACTCTGACCTGCCTTATGGAATAAGTTATAGTCATGAGTTGTCATTTTCCAAAAAACCAAGGTTATCAATCTGCGGGTCGACCCACTTTGACCCTGACTCGATGAGAAAAAAGGGCCGCACACATCCGCCAGGTCAATCATTGTAAGGTACTGGGTTGGAGGTCAAATTGTGTCATTTTTTCTTTGGTTTGAGTAATGCGGTTATTTTTCGATTTTCCTTTTCGCCTAACCCAACATTTGGAATTCTAAATTGAACATCTGAATATTGATGTTATATAAGTGTGTGTGAATTTTCACTATATGTTGGATTCAAGTACAACATGTTATTTTGGTGTAATGTTATATGTTATTACCCATTTGTTAGATGAGATTTAATATAATTTATACGGTAATGACTATTTATTAGCCAAACCTTTTCCAGATTCTTTTTTATTAGCCAAACCTATCGAAACACTAAGAGTTAGCCAAATGTTAACTTTCAGTTAGCAATTTTGTTAGTAATATTGACTTAACAACGTGATAGTGACTTGGAAGAGACACATGAAGGTCAACATTCCAAAATTTTAGTATTTTAACTAAGAAAAGAGTTACAAAATTATTAATGATAGTGTAAAAATGGTTAATTAATAGCATTTTAATAGGTTTGGATAATATAAAAGAATCTGAAATTACCCTAATTTATAAATGTATGAACAATATAATGACTTTTTCTATATATCTAGACTAAACCAAATTAAAGCGGTCGGACCAATAACCCTCAACTCACTTGGTTGACTAGATCAACGGGCTAAACCGGGTGACAACCTTGAAAAAACACAATTATTATGCAAGAATCCGTCTAAAATAAAGAAATTGTTACAAGTTATTGAAACAATTTCTATTTCACTATGATTTACATAGCAAGGTATTCATGATGGATCAAAACACATGAACATGTGGTGAATAAGTAGCATGATGTAATTACGTACACACATGTGACAACTTAGAATTAAATGTACACGATCAAGTTTCGATTTAACTATTAATTTATCGCCAACCAAACATGCATGAAGTAAGATAAGATCGATGTGCTTCACTCAACTTCTAGAAACCCCATTGAAAGCACAAATGCATACTCCCCGTGATAGAATGGGAAAAGGTTGCATGAATATAGGAACAAGTTTTGGGGCCTTGAGTGTTTTCTAGCTAGTTAATGTTACAAGATCAAGAGATTTTCTGGGAAGCATGGAGTGTTTTGATTCATTTTATTATTATTATTATTATTATTATTATTATTATTATTATTATTATTATTATTATTATTATTATTGTAAATGGATACAAGGAGAGTGACAATTTGGATCTTGATCGTTGTGCTATTATTTTCTAAGTTGGTTTTATTGTCAATTTGTTCCGTGATTTTTGTATTATATTGAGATAGTCAGTTTTCAATTTCCACGTAAGTCAATATTTAAGTTATTTCCTGATTTTCCAATTCGAATCATTAAAATTCGTATTCTCTGTTATCTTCGCTAAAGATGAGCCTATGAATTTAACCAAAATCATCCTATGATTATCATATCGGATTAGGACACCCAGATTGAGTTGTTGATCACCATTGTCACCATGATTATCAAGAGGCCATTTGTGGCAAAGAGGACTCGTATGTACACCCAAATTCAAAAAAAAAAAATCATGATAGCTAGTTGTGGATCAATGTGGGAAAATCCATGCATTCATTTTGGGACCACAAATACCAAATGATAGCAAACTGTCGTCATTTGATGCCAAATGAGGCTATTGGATGACAGAAGATCAGGGCTATATATTAACTCTCTGTTGTACATCTACAACACCTATTAGCAATGGTCCATCCTTTTTCCTTCAGAATGTCCAAAGTAGTAGTAACTACCCTGTGAAGATTGACCAACCATATGAAAAGAAGCAAATTTTAAGAGGAACAACAGCAAAGTCAGTCAGACCTCTTACCACCCAAAAAAGACAGTGTTGTTGGGGATTAGCGGAATTGTGGTAGAAATTAGGATCAACACAAAGGAAATTTTTGGTGTTTAATCACTCAATTTAAGAAACACTCAAACAAACATAGCCTTACACTTTTTGGCTTATGTGTTTAACTCACAAAAGACATACATGCACACCTTGTGCTTTTCTTTCTTTTGTTTCTGTTACTCACTACACAACCCATACTTACAACACATATATATAATTGTAAATGCAAGAACCAATCACCCATCACATACTCTTCAATTCTCCAGCAACGTGAATGACAAACTAACATGGTCTTTAATATATGTATGTCCCATGCATTACTTCTCTTGTCTCCTTTGCATTTGCTGTACGTAATAATTGAATCCTATTATTTGGTTGCTGGAGCTTCATATCACCTCATCTATTTGTGAACACCTCATGTTCCATAGGTCATTCATATTTATCATAAGAGACAATAATAATTAATCCATTGTTGATAATGTTGAGGCCTACCATGTGTAGTGTTTAGTGATAGGTTGATTGCAAATTACCATTCAACACCCCCTCTTAATTTGCAATTCGGAGTAGCTCCTTGAACTTCTCGAATTTTTCACGAGTAACCGCCTTTGTCATGATATCTGCTGGCTGGTCGTCGGTGTTGATAAATTCCATCACGATTAAACCTTCGTTGACGAGGTCTCGGATGAAATGATGACGCAACTCGATATGCTTCGATCTTGCGTGAAATACTGGATTCTTTGTCATGGCTATGGCTGACATGTTGTCACAATGAATAATGGTTGGACCATTTTCATTTTGCTGCAAATCAGAAATTAATCTTTTTAGCCATACCGCTTCGCATGCTGCATCAGTAGCTGCGATATATTCTGCTTCCGCTGAAGATAATGCCACAGTTTTCTGCTTCTTTGAACTCCAGGAAATGGGTTTTGAACCCAGGCATAATATGTAACCCGATGTGCTTTTTCGATCATCCAGTGATCCTGCCCAGTCACTATCGGTAAATCCAGTCAGCTTGCTTTCTGCTTCTTTCTTGTACGTCAGGCCCAATTTCTTTGTACCTTGAAGATACCGCAAAATTCTTTTGGCTGCTGCAAAATGAAGTTTGCTAGGTTCATTCATAAATCTTGATATAAGACTTACTGAATGACATATATCCGGCCTGGTATGTGTCAGGTAAATGAGTGACCCGACAAGACTTCTGTATAGCTTTCCATCGACTTTTTCAGCTCCATCATTGCGTTGTAATTTCTCGTTTAATGCCATCGGTGTTGAGATTGGTTTGCACGTTGTCATGTGAAATCTTTTCAGCATATCTTCGGTGTACTTCTCCTGTGAAATAAATATTTCTCCAGGTGACTGCTTCACTTGAATCCCAAGAAAGTATTTCATGACTCCCAAGTCCGTCATTTCGAATTCTTTCATCATGGTACTTTTGAATTCTTCGATCATATGCTGACTTGTACCTGTGTAAATCAAGTCATCAACATATAAACAAACCATTAGAAAATCTTTTCCTTCTCCCTTTTTGATGTAGAGAGATGCTTCACTCGGACTTCTTTGAAATCTGTTTTGCTGAAAATATCGATCAATTCTGCTGTTCCAGGCTCTCGGTGCTTGCTTTAGCCCGTATAAAGCCTTTCGGAGATGATAGACTTTGTCTTCTTCTCCTTTTTTCTCATAGCCTCGTGGTTGTTCCACATAGACTTCTTCTTCTAGTTCTCCATTCAGAAATGCTGATTTGACATCTAGCTGGTATACTGGTAACTCCAGTTGAGCAGCTAGAGCGAGAACTGTTCTGATGGTCTCCATCCTCGCTACTGGTGCATATGTCTCGTGAAAATCAATACCGGGCTGTTGTGAATAGCCCTTTGCCACCAGTCGAGCTTTGTACTTCTGGATAGTACCATCTTCATTGAATTTGATTTTATAGATCCATTTGAGACCTATAACCGGCTTGCCCTCCGGTTGATCAACAAGCTCCCATGTCTTGTTTTTCTCGATCATGGAAATTTCTGCATCCATTGCCTCGTTCCAAACTTCTTCTTTGGATGCTTCTTCAAAGACTTGAGGTTCACAAGAAAAATATGCAACATGACTTGTTTCATAAATTTCTCGCAAAGACCTTGTTCTCAACGGAGGTGAATCCGAGTCTGTTACGACGTCTCTGAAGTTGTCTCCTTCTGGGCTAGGTGCAGAATTTCTTTCTGGACTAGCAACTGGATCTGGGTCGTTGCTGGGGTCTTCTGGAATTGCTGAATCCTCCAGAATTTCATAACTTGGTGGAGATTGAGAAATTGGATTTTCCCAATTCCACTCCGCCATCTCGTCAAAAATCACATCTCGGGAAACCACCACTTCATTCTTTACTGGATTGTAAAGACGATAGCCTTTGGACTCATCACTATAGCCGGTGAGGATCAGCTTCTCTCCCTTCTGGTCAAACTTGTCTCTGTTTGGGGTAGAAATATGTGCATAAGCTATGCACCCAAAGACTTTGAGGTGATCCACCTGTGGCCTCCTGTGGTGCCACGCATGTATCGGTATCTTGTTCCGAACTGCTTTGGTTGGTGATCTGTTGAGGATGTAAATTGTTGTATTGACCGCTTCTGCCCACAAGTTGTTGGGAAGCTTCTTAGCTTTGAGCATACTTCTCGCCATCTCCACAATCGTGCGATTTTTCCGTTCTGCCACGCCATTTTGTTGTGGTGTGTAACGGACCGTCAACTGCCTTTTTATCCCGTTGTTGCGGCAATACTCCATGAACGGAGTATAAATAAATTCTCCTCCACGATCTGTACGGAGAGTTTTGATTTGATGGCCGCTTTCCTTCTCAGCTACTGCTTGGAATTGAAGGAACTTGGGAAAAGCTTCTGACTTTTGCTCCAGAAAGAATACCCACATCATTCTGGTGAAGTCATCTACAAATAGTAGAAAGTATCTCTTGCCGCTGAGCGATTGTGTTCGGGTTGGACCACATATGTCTGCATGTACCAACTCCAATGGCGCTTTTGCTCTCCAAGATGTCTTTGGAAATGGTAAACGATGCATTTTGCCATATATGCATCCTTCACAGATCTTGTCTTCTCTGTTGATCTGGGGAAGTCCCACCACCATATTTTTCTGCCTCAGTAATTTGAGACCTTTGAAGTTGAGATGACCATATCTGAGATGCCATAGGAAGGATTGATCAAGATTTTCACTCTTGAATGCTACTTCACCATTTTGTGACATAGCAAGAGAGAAAATTCTGTTGGAAGTCATCGGGACTTTGGCCACCATGAAATTGTCTGCTTTGTTGATAATCTCACACACACCATTATCAAACAATAGCTTGTAATTTTTCAGCATCAGTTGTCCCACGCTAAGTAGATTGAGAGTTAGCTCCGGAACATACAAAACGTCTCGGATGAGAGTTTTGTTACCTTCTTCTGTGCATACAACAACTGTGCCTTTTCCTTCCACTTTTAGCTTCTTCCCGTCTCCCAACTTGACTTGAGAGCGGTATTTGTCATCGATGTCGGTGAAGGACTCCAGATCTCCAGTCATGTGGTTACTGCAACCACTATCCACCATCCAGGGAAGCTGTGATTTTTGCTCACCATTCAAACATGATAAGGCCACCATATTGCTTTCTTCATTTTTGGTGCCGCTTGACTCGCCTTCTTCTTGCTTGTTCTGGAACCAGCAATCTCTTTGGGAGTGGTTTTGAATTCTGCACTTGGTGCACTTGAATCTGCAGTCTTTTGTTGCATGACCCGCCTTTTTGCAAATTATGCAACTCGAGCCGGTGTAGCCCGATCTTTGTTGTTGATAATTTTGTCTGTTGTTTCCTCTGTAATTGGATCTTCCTCTTCCTCTTCCTTGTGAGTTTCCCCCTCTCTGGCCTTGCTCCGATTTGGTATATTTACTTTCTGTCATGTTGACTTTTGACGAGAAAGCTTGCTCCAATGGCGGTTTGGTGAATCGGCTCATTCTTTGCTCGTGTGCTACACGTGAGCCCATCAACTCGCTCATTGATAAATTTGCCAAATCTTTGGTTTCTTCAATGACAGCAACAATATGCTCGAACTTTGATGATAAGCTCCGGAGAATTCTCTCCACGACCTTCCTCTCTTCCATGACGTCACCGGTGGCTTTGATCTGGTTGACTGTCTCCGCCACACGTGAATGGAAGTCTTTGATGGTGTCGGTTTCCTTCATCATCAAGTTGTCGAACTGGCGCCATAAACTTTGTCGCCTGATGGAGATCGCCTTTTCAGAACCTTGGAATTGTTCACGCAAGACATCCCAAGCTTCTTTGGCCTTTTTGATGCCATATATTCTGGGGTAAATTGATTTGCTCACAGCTTGCTGAATGATTCTCAAGGCGCTGGCATTTTGCTTGGCATTCTCCTTGTACTCCTTTGTCTGCTTGCCTGCTCGTTTTTTCGAGTCTTCATCCTCGTCTTGTGGATCTTCATATCCTTCTTGGACGATATCCCACAGATCTTGAGAGATGAAAATTGGCTCCATTTGGGCACTCCAGTACTCGTACAATTCTCCATAAAAAATGGGAATTTGATTAGAGGAGGTAGCAAACGTGGTGTTTGATGAAGTTGTTGCCATGGCTTTTTGAGAGGATTTTTGTATGCTAGAAAGGTGGGGATTTTTGAGAGGATAGAAGGGTATTAGCTCTGATACCAAATTTGTTGGGGATTAGCGGAATTGTGGTAGAAATTAGGATCAACACAAAGGAAATTTTTGGTGTTTAATCACTCAATTTAAGAAACACTCAAACAAACATAGCCTTACACTTTTTGGCTTATGTGTTTAACTCACAAAAGACATACATGCACACCTTGTGCTTTTCTTTCTTTCTTTTGTTTCTGTTACTCACTACACAACCCATACTTACAACACATATATATAATTGTAAATGCAAGAACCAATCACCCATCACATACTCTTCAATTCTCCAGCAACGTGAATGACAAACTAACATGGTCTTTAATATATGTATGTCCCATGCATTACTTCTCTTGTCTCCTTTGCATTTGCTGTACGTAATAATTGAATCCTATTATTTGGTTGCTGGAGCTTCATATCACCTCATCTATTTGTGAACACCTCATGTTCCATAGGTCATTCATATTTATCATAAGAGACAATAATAATTAATCCATTGTTGATAATGTTGAGGCCTACCATGTGTAGTGTTTAGTGATAGGTTGATTGCAAATTACCATTCAACAAGTGTGAGGTTCTGTTGAAGCTGAGCTGCATCAATGCTTCTCCCATCACACACCTGCATGTCCTTCAATTATTAGTCAGAAATTAATCAATATACATATTGCCATTACATTTACACTTAATCTGATCCTGGTATATACCTTAGCCTGAATACTGTGCATCATTTTATCATCCACTCTAGTAGAAATGTAGCTCACAATGTCGAGCCCTTGTCGAATCAGAGCTCCAAAAACTACAGAAACACCACCAGTAGTACTCTTCTGATCATCATTGGTAATAATGCTACTTCTTTTCGTGACCAACCCGATTTCCATAGCAACAACTTCCCCTCCAACCAAACAAGGCTTCACAGTAATCGCACGGTCCAGATAATTACTAGTGAGCTCATCTCTCTTGCCAGTCAGCTCCCGGATCTTGGCTTCCTTATGGCATATGTAAATGGCGGCCTGGTTGACTTGGTCAGACATTGACCTCTTCCCCTATACGACCATCAAACCAGAAATCAACAACCATTAATTAATAACAACTAAAGTGTCTAATCGATCTAGTTAATTAATTAATAGCTAGTTTAGGGTCGTTGAGTTGACCTTGAGATACTCAATGGGAAGGAGAGAGCGGAGAGAAGCGTGGAGAGCTTTGGTATCCTGCCTTCTTTGCCTCTCAACATCTCTATGCATCATCTTTCTCGTCACCTTCTGCAGGCTCTCATTCTTATCATCATCGCCAGCTTGCAGTTGCTCTTGATGATCCTCATCATCCTCGCCGCCGGGGAAAGCCACCGATGATTTTCGCCTTCTAGGGCTCATCGTAATCCCGCTGTCATCAACTTCACGATCATCGGCGGCAGGGGCTGGAGGTGGAAGAACGTGATCATCATCATCCATCTATACAGTTTGGTTGTGGGAAGTGTCTATATGGCCAAATAGCTAGCTGGAAGGACGTGTATATATATACATATAGAAATGGCGAATGATTAACCATATAGGCATCCCAAATCCAATGCTTTCTCAATCTCTCTCAGAAATCTGAATCGGGTGGAAGATATATTATGTAATCTTTTTAGAGGGTGGTTTCCATATCTAGGAGGGGCCTGAGGTGTGCAGATTTTGTGACAACATGACTATATAGTCTACTACAAATAATCTCACAATAACTATAAGGATGTTCTCATTCGGAAACCCCTTCATTCCAATTTTCCTTGATTCTGCGCAGTCCTCGGCAGGGCCTTTTGGACTTTTAGTATAATGGGTTTACTACGTGATTTGAGTATATTTAATACCAAGCCTTAGTAATTATAATTGTACTGAAAATCTAATCCCCTTCCTTTCAGGTTTTCTTCCGTCCAACTTCCAAGCTAGCGCTGGGTATTCTAATTAAGTAATTATTATTATAACCATATATTACACTCCATGGAAGCGACAACCAGGAGCAAGTAACCACAAATTTAAATAAACCAAAGTCTTAAGAGTAAATAATAATTATTAGCCAAATCTATTAAATTACTAATAATTAGCTAAATTTTTGCAATGCATCAAATATTAGTCATTTTTACATTATCGTTAATAATTGTGTAACTCTTTTCTTAGTTAAGATAGTAAATTTTTTGGAATTTTGACATCCACGTGTCTCTTCCAAGTTCCAAGTCAGTATCATGTTGCCAAATCAATATTACTAACAAACTTGCTAACTGGAAGATAACATTTGACTAATTATTAGCAATTCAATAAATTTGGCTAATAAAATAGAATTTGAGACATGTTTGGCTAATAATTAGTGTTCTATTGTGTTGTAGACAAGACAAAATGAACGTTCAAGAGAACATATGAAAACGTAAAATTCAATAAATTCATATCATCTATGTACATCGTGGCAATACCAGCTTACATGTATAGCTTTTGATTTTTCAATTGCATGATCTACTAAAGTTCTAAGCTTTAGTTCAAGTATAGAAAAATGTGTTTTGAAGACAACTTTATGAAAAAGAACCATTACTCAATTCAACAAGATTCTTGCTAAGCTATCGATGTTATGTTCATCAGAGCCATTTCATTCTTCTATGTCTCTAAACCTCAAATTACATAAACCTTCATACTTTATTAGTTTAGTAGTACTTGAGTTGTTAATGTTCATTTATTGGTGATTAGTCAGCGTTGCCGGTGAAAAAACTTTTCTCTTTAATTAAAGCTACTTAAAAAAAAGGTAAATTAGAGCTACCTTCATATAACCTAAATTTGATATTCATGATTGAATTTCACTCAAGGTGCATTATTAAATGAAGGAATGGAGTATTTACCAAAAAAAAGAATGTAGTTGAAGTTCATATTAAGTTTAGTGATTAACTTATCATAACATCACAAATTTCATAACCGAATTAATAGTTTTGAAGATTATAAATGATGGCAAAAAATAATCTCCAACAACATTTGTGATTAGGATGAGGTAAACAAACATTTGTGATTAGGATGAGGTAAGTTGTTTTGCCATGAAAATTATATTTCATATATGATTGTGTTTTATTTTTTGAATTTGCTTCACAAAAATTGTGAAAAAATGCATGTTGATAGTGGAGATAGTGAAGTTGACGATAGATATTTTTTATTGTAAAGAGGTACTGATATTGGTCATTTTGAAATATATATAATATTGTGTCATTAAGTTTATAATTGGTTGATATACCCTTGCATAAGTCATATCTTTTTAATTCCAACAAGAATGTGCATAGAAAGCACCAATGACAACATTAAGTTTATGATGGATGCTAATTATATATTTTCTAAACAATTTAAATTTGAAGTTTTGTTAATTATTGTTATCGTATGGTAGCCGGCCAACGGGCCGGGGTACTATCTAGTATCACATATAGACAATGACCTGATAATTAACTTGACTCACCTCTACTGTACAACGGGCGGCTGCCAGGCTCCCTTAGTTAATTACTTTACTTTAATTAACAGTAATACAATCGATGGTTGGTGACTCGGACAGATTATGGTGTCCATAGTGACGGTTATTGTGACAATCAAAAGGAAATTAGGTATTAAAAATAAATCTTTATTAAGTCTAGTTTTTAGTAAATTACAAATACATATTAATTACAAAGAATTTTACAAGGCTTAATTGCAAGTTTGGTCACTCGAATTACTATAAAATTTCACGTTTGCCACTCAAATTAATTTATTCCATTTATAGTCACTCGAATTAGTTGAACAGTTCAAGTTCGGTCACTCTCCGTTAACCTCCGTTAACTTTGACTGACGTGGCGGTCAACTCTGACAGTTGACCGTTAAATGTGTGACGTGGCAAATAAAAAATAATTAAAAAATTAAATTAAATTTTTAGAAATTACACATCATTATAAAAAAAATATATAAAAAAAGAAATTATTTTCTTCTAACTTGCAATTAAGCCAACGAATTGCAATTTGCAGAACACTATATCAATACAAGAAGATCAAGCACATGAACTTCTCTTCCAATTATTTGCAGAAGCTTAGAACCCAGAAGTATCCATTATAGTTGCCCACTAAAGATATCCTCTCTGAACTACCATGAACAACAAAAAATGACAGCACTAAAGCCACTAAAAAAGAAAAAGAGACCTGTAGGCATGAAAACCAATGAAAATCGAATATGCACAGTAGCAGCATATCATTCTTCAGCAAGCATCTGTGTACGGTCGGAGCCACCTCCGAGGGGCTAAAGGTAGGGCGACCCATCGCTTGGTGAATGGATTGCAGAGGAATAACGTTCGCCCCAGCTCGCTGCTGTTGTCGCTCCGGCTCGCGTTGAACCCGAGTAAGAGCAGGTCCCTGAAGCAATCAAGAACGTCGAAACGGAAACGGGCCTCGGCGGTAGGCAGGGGAAGAAAACACAAGGCAAGATTTTCACAATAGCATTACACCAAAATTATACACTACTAACGCCCACTGGGAAATTTCGTCGAACAGTTGCTGTGCATTACTCACGAGTGCCATCAGGGCCGAACCCGGATTTCAGAAACTACTTCTAACGAGTACCCCGAACGGCGATTCGACCGTAACATCAACACTAGCATGTCAGGAGTAAGATAGAACAAGAAAAATTACCTTGTTGAACGTATCCATGGGCTGGACGAAGGCGACATCTACATTTGATGGAAGCACTTTTGTTGAAGATGCTGACGAAGAAGAAGCGGAAAAGAAAGGCGGATGGCTTTGAGGGAGCCGGAAGCGCGATGGGTTCGGATTCGCCGGCGATGTGGTGAGAAACGAAACGGCGAGCGAAGTATGGAGTGGAGACGAGGGAGTTCCATTGCTTGCAGACGGGTTTGGATCGGAAGGCGGATTTTGTGTCCGGTAGACGAATGAGGAGTTCAATCAGGATGTGTAATTTTTTTCATTTTTTATAGTTTTTTTTATAATGATGTGTAATTTCTAAAAATTTAATTTAATTTTTTAATTATTTTTTATTTGCCACGTCACACATTTAACGGTCAACTGTCAGAGTTGACCGCCACGTCAGTCAAAGTTAACGGAGGTTAACGGAGAGTGACCGAACTTGAACTGTTCAACTAATTCGAGTGACTATAAATGGAATAAATTAATTTGAGTGGCAAACGTGAAATTTTATAGCAATTCGAGTGACCAAACTTGCAATTAAGCCAATTTTACAATGTTATATAGTATTGGTGCTAGAGCTTTTTGTCTTTATGGTACGACTTGAAGTTGTACCTTTAACGTTATGGTACAACTTCAGATTGTACCTATACTATTTTGTACAAATTCTTTTATGGTACAACTTAAACTTGTACATTCATGTGATGGTGCAACTTTATAACATAAAGTTGTACCATAACATATGAGTACAAATTCTTTTGTGGTACAACCTTAACTTATACATTTAACATTATAGTACAATTTTAAGTTGTATATTAAAGCACCAATACTTTGTAGCATAATAGAAGTGTTCATTAATTATATTTTTCTTTCTCCCAAATTTCCTGGGGCTTTTATTTTTCTCGCCACCTATATATCTTCTTCTTTTCGATTCTTGTATGCCCCCATTCAGACAAATCAATATTAGTTTATATGAACAAATATCATTTCAAAAGAACTAATACCACTATAAAAATAAAACAAGAAATCAGTATATGATCATAAAAAATAATACCGCTTTGGAAAAACCAATATCATGCAGTTTAGACAAACGTCATTACCAGTTTAGACAAAACCAATATCAGAATGCAAAACTCGGATACGAGTTTCGAAACAAGAAATCTATACCAAATCATAAAAAATATTGTCACTTCAAAAACCAATGTCGGTTCAGATGAACCAATACCATAATACAAATAACCACCATTACTATGAAAACAAAAGGAACATTAAATTTCAGGGGGGGGAAAAATCAATACCACTATGAAAAGGTCAGGAAATGCATATCTTGCCGACCAATTGTGGTGCGGCTGCCGCCGTCTTCCTCCAGCCTTATCCCCTTGGAGCCGACGGAGGCATTCGGCCTAGAGGCGGAGGACGTCAAGTACATCACCCAGCACTTCTGAGAACGGCAAATGAGTCGAGTCGAGCCGAGTTACGTTTTACCCCAGCTTGAGTTTGGCTCGTTAATAAACGAGATGAGCTCAAATTCGAGCCATTTATTAACGAGTCAAGTCGAGCTCGAGCTCGAGCTAAGCTTGTTTGGTAAAATCTTGAGTCATATTTGACATTTCATCTTGAATGTCATGTATGATACATGTGATTGATGTCTTGATGAAAAAATAATAGTCAAATGCTCAATATTAACTAATCTCATATTATACTTTGTTAGTATCATATTATGTAGTTAATAAATTTTAACTAGTCCAAATCATGTTATTTAAAAGTAGCGAAGCGATATGCGATATAAAATCTCTTTTTAAAATAAAAAATAATACATATTTGCTCACATACTCAGTGTGTTAAACTTCATATAGGGTGAGATATATAATTTGACAATCATATGAATGAAACTCATAAGATAGAGATCGATTCGCCCATAAGTCGGTAATCAAGTTAGCTCTCTAGCCACAATGTGAGACATCTCATGAGCTCTAAACGATCCAGCTCACGAGTTTAGCTCAACAAGCCACCGAGTCGAGCTAGCTCACAAGCTGAACAAGGCTTAGCTCATGCTCGACTTGTTAATATACGAGTCGAGTGTCGAACGAGTTTTTCCTGAGTCGGGTACCGAGACGCTCGCGAGCAGCTCGACTCATTTGCGGCCTTAGAGGTTTGTGTAGGAAAAAGTAAACCTGACTAACAACAAAACAAATTAAATGGGAGCCAAAGAATCAATAACAAGGGAAGTTCCTCCCGGCCGGTTCAAACTGTTTCTGCCCCTCTCACCTTGTCGGTCGAGGACAAGTCATAGGGTTTTGGTTTTGGGCACCAAGGACGGACGGGTACGGCGGACTGGAGAAAGCGTCAGAGAGCAGAGGGAGAGGGAATCATCAGGTTGGGAGAGATAAAAAGTCCATATATGAAAGTGGTTAGCATTCAGATGCGATAAATTTTTTGTTTTCAAAATCAATTACTCTAAAACAATCTTGATTGTCATTTTAGAAAATATGAAAAAAGAATAACAAGCAGTATAGAGCAATGTTATCACGATCGAATTCACTAAAACAACCCCTTAAAGGATTTCACCGTAACCTATTCCATGGTTGGTTTGTAGCTAGCTAGCTAGGTAGTTGAATTAATAGTTTAATACATATATGTTTAGTGTTTATCATAGTTAATGATAATCTCGATCGTAGGTTGATTCCATGCGTAGTGACAACGGACTGCATGTCGAGTAGGGGTCGCTATATATTCTAGCTTGCTAGTAGCTTGTTTTATTGGAGGTCATAGATCAATATTATATAGTTCAGATTAGGAGTATATATATATGTATTCATTTTGATAATACTCTTATGTGGGTTAATTTCAATTCTTTGGCAGATATTTCAAATATTTCATTACTCCCTTATCCGATTATGTAGAGAAAATTGACGCTTTTTTTACTTTGATATAATTACCAGTTTATAATTTGCATGCATCTCAATATCGAATGGACATTCCACAACAGGGTAACCAATACTAGTAATTCAAGAACATTATGTATTTTTGCCTTTAGATTTTAGAAGTCACTGGTCAATATGTGGTGTCATTAAAAAATATGATGATTATTCGATAGTATAAACAAGAAACAATTTTTTATCATGTGAATAAAATGCGAGTTATTTGGGTGACCCACAATCCATCTACCACCCAGTTAATAAACTGAATGGTTAAAGGTCGTCCTAAAAATTACTAACCATCGTCCTAACTTAATATGTAATTTACCAAATTGCCCATTTTGAATTTCAAAATCAAACACAAAACAAACAACCCCTCCTCCTTCCATAAATCTAAAAAAAGATATAAACCAAAATCCAACAAATTATCTTATGGACCGAACCATAAATCGTAGTAAAAGAATAGAAAAATTATTGATATAAACCAAACAAATCCAAAAAAACCCAAAACCCCTCAACCGAAGTCAATTTTCGGTTGTACCATGGACCAACCGAAAATGGCTAAATTGCAAGTTTGGTCACTCGAATTGCTACAAAATTTCATGTTTGGTCACTCGAATTGGTTTATTCCATTCGTAGTCACTTAAATTAGTTGAACCGTCCAACTTTGGTCACTCTCCGTTAACCTCAGTCAAACTCCGTTAGTATCGTCAGTTAACTGCTGACGTGGCTAACAGAGGTGCTTAGTCATCCTATTTTAACCAGAAAAAAATAAAAAATAAACATGCCACGTCATTAACCCCTCCATATCATAAACTCAACCCAAACCCAATCAACCTCTGAACCAACCCATTCACCCGTCCCCTCTCTCCTTCCCCCCTCTTCTTCCCCAGCTCCGACCCCATTCAATCTCCCACACCCTATTATTGACGACCTAATTTTCACTCAAATCCCAAACCCCGTCGCTCTTCGTCGCCGTCGAAGCCCTACAAGGCCGCCTCCGAGCTTGCTCCTCCCCGTCTCTCAACTCCCCATAGAGCACCGCCATCATTCGTAACATTCTCATAAGAAGATCCTCCGCTCTCCACCGCTTGTGGAGCCATCCCGGCGAGCTCCGTCGCTCTCTTCCTCATCGCTTCACACTCCTCGTCGCCGCCCACCACTCTCTGCACTGCCCTCACCACATCCTCTCTCTTGACCGCCGCCGCCGCTGCGACCTCCTCCCAATCCACCATCATCGGCTGCTCCACTCCCAGACTAACACCAATCCCCAGCACTTCGACGACCATAATTAAAACCCGAGCGGTAGAAATCCAAACCCTAATTAAAACCCCCCCTAAAAATCAAGTCCAAAAATGAGGATGAAGTGATAGGGATACGAAAGGACGAAAGGATCTTACCATGAGCTCTGTCGCCGCCGACTCTGTTGGAGGTCATGAAGAAGCCGACGACGATACCGATGACGCCAAGACGAGGAGGGAGACGGCGAGTCCGATCTCCCTGATGGGAGGACGGTTGGTGTTGGTGTACGATCTGTCCATCATTAGATCGTCGTCGGTAATCGAGAACGCGTGGTCGACGTTACGCCATTTTTCTGCTTCCTTTCTTTGCTCCGCCGTTGTACGGTACGGTGGCTGCTACTGCTGATCGACTACAGGAAGTTTCTTCAAAGCACAAATCTTGAAGAGGGGAAAGTTGGGAAGGGGAAGGAGAAGATAGTTAGGGATTTGTTTCTTTCGGGGTTTGTCGTAGCGAATGGGGTCGGAGCTGGGGAAGAAGAGGGGGGAAGGAGAGAGGGAACGGGTGAATGGGTTGGTTCATGGGTTGATTGGGTTTGGGTTGAGTTTACAATATGGATGGTTTAATGACGTGGCGTGTCTTTTTTTATTTTTTTTCTGGTTAAAATATGATGACTAAGCACCTCTGTTAGTCACGTCAGCATTTAACTGACGGTACTAACGGAGTCTAACGGAGGTTAACGGAGAGTGACCAAAGTTGGACTGTTCAACTAATTTAAGTGACTACGAATGGAATAAGTCAATTCGAGTGACCAAACATAAAATTTTGTAGCAATTCGAGTGACCAAACTTGCAATTTAGCCAACCGAAAATAGTCTTCGGTTGAGCCATGGTGCAACCGAAGGTGATTTTCGGTTGGTCCATGGTACAACCAAAAATTGCCTTAGGTTGAGCCATGGTACAACCGAAGATGATTTTCGGTTGGTCCATGGTACAACCGAAAATTGCCTTAGGTTGAGCCATGGTACAACCGAAAATTGGCTTCGGTTGAGGGGTTTCGGAATTTTTTTTTTTAAATTAGATTTTTACCTCGTCGGAGTCGCTACTCATGATTTGGACGTATTCTCAACGATTACAACTCAAGAATGTCAACGATGAATTCGAGAGTGTGGGAAATTGAGTGTTCTTCATTTTTTTTTTACTTAAAGTGATGTTTGTTTGCTAAAAATGCCAAAAGGTTAAAAGTGTAACTTTGTTATGTTTTAGGACGATCAATAGTAATTTTAAGGACGACCTTTATCAATTCCTTTAATAAATGCAAATCTAAATTTTCTAGCCATCATTCACCCACAAATTTTTTAGAAAAGGGCGAACATTATTAATAGGAACGGGAAAAGAAAACTGTAAAGAAAGTAGAAATAAAAGTCTGGCAAAGAAACATAGAAAAGACTTCCAGGTGGCAGAGAACAAAAGAAAAAACAACAGAGAACCAGAAGAAAGAAAAAAATCAAGGGAGCTCCAGCTCCACAAAACGAGAGGGGCATCCTCCAACAATGCGTTTATTGTTATTTGTTGGTAGATCGATGTTAATTAAGCGTGGATTAAACACCCATATGGTTAATCCTACTCACAGACTACTTTAACTTTTAACGCCCTCATGCCCAAATGTAATATCATTTACAACCCAAAAAAATTATCGTGGATAAAAGATCGTTTTAGAAATTACTAAGTATCATCGTAAAAATACTAAAATTATCATTGTACCGTTTTTAGATTGCGGTTTTCTTCACGGCGATGGAAGGACAAATTAGAGGAAGCATCCTTTCCACCAAACAAAGCAGAGTAATGGGGAGCAATTGTCCTAGTCGTCTTCATGGCGGTCAGGAGGAGGGATGACGGAGGAAGATGGCCACGTTTGACGGTCAAGGGGAGGGATGGCGGAGGGGGAGGGGTATGTTTGTTTCGGATTTCAATATGAAATTTGAAAAGGATTAATAAGTAATATGTGTATTGAAATTGGGATGACGACTAATAACGTTTTTTATAAAAAAATATATATTTTGTACATGCTTGTTAATATCTTATATTTTAAACTAAAAAGTGGCCTAGGCTATGAATTATCACACATGAACAAATGAAGCAACCATGTTGCCTAAATTTAATTTGGAGTAGTAAAGCAAAGGAGTTAATTACTAGCTACCAGTACAAGGAGCGCACGAGATAATCATTTTAGTTAACATCAGTTATTCGTCAAATGGTGAATTTAATAAAAGTGTGATATGCACTCATTGTCTCATTCATACCAACGAGGAAAAAGTGCGGATAGTCGCTCCGCCGTTAAATTAATCCACCCAAAAATATCAAATTTGCTAAAAAATTATCACGACAGAAAACTTATCCAAAAAATTTAAATAGACAAGTTTGCTACTAATATATGTCGAAACTTCAGACCATTTCAATTTTGAGCTTGATTATCTGATTGAAGAAAAAAAAATTATGCATAATTTTTCAAGAACTACAACTTTTATTAGAGGGTAAATTTTAGAATGTATGTTGAAAACTGAAAATCGCTAAAATAAAAACGGTCTCTTCTGATTGGTTTAGGCTTTATATGAACATAAATTTACACTTGATTATTCGATCGTCACATTTTTTTTATTTCTCATATTTTTTTTATATCTACCCATGTGTAAATGTTGAAGTCTGTTTAGTCTACCTCTATCTCAAAATAAGGTCATTTGTTGCTTTATACGAGGCATTTTGTGTTTATGTCGAATTTTAGAAGGTTATAATTTTGTGCTCTATCGTCCAATTGAAGCAACTCCTTACTTTGATTAAATTTCAAGTACTACAAAACAAATTTTATTAGGGACAATTTTCAGAGAGTACATATTTTTCTAAATTTTATGAGATTTGGTGATAATTTTGGATTTACTTTACACCTTTCAACATATAATATGAAATTTACCCCTAATAAAAAATTAATTTTGTAACAGTTATACAAAACAACAAAAACTTTGTATCTATTGGATAATCGAATTCAAAATTACTATCATATAAAGTTCCAACATATATTAATAGGAAGTCACTTGAGAAAAATAAAGAAAATAGCTCTAAGTAAAAGTCGTGGTGGGCATCAACCAACAACAAACAGCTAGTATATAATACATTTGATAATATTGCGGAAAGTTTGTTGATTAGTACTATAATCATAAATTATTGTTGTTGCATAAATTTAATTGACGTGATACCCATTTTCTCTTGAGAAAAACAATCGGGCCACTATTTTGAAAAAAGGTTTGTTAAGTAGGGCTGGAAGTTTGATATCGGTATTTGGAATATACCGAATTTGTCTATATTTGATATTACTGAATACCGTACCATGCAAATGCGATGCTTGTACAAATAAAATGCACGTTTTTATTTGAAAAGGAGTTTTGCTAGTACTTGCTTACATATTAACATATTTTATCTTACAATGGCCCCATCCTCCACTTAGCTAGCGCAATCGTTCGGTAAACTTGTTATAACATATCTTTACATGACTACCCTCACCATGGGGAGCATGAACGTGTAAACTGTGCCCACCCACACAATGGGGATCATGCTCCTATCTAAGACGAAACACCCACACAATGGGGATCATGTACCGCGTGCGTAGCAAGCTAAGCGATGATTAAACATGTTCTTACATATTATCTTGGTGTTTTATACTTGCTTGTCCAAATCCATCTCTCACATCATGGAGAGATGTAATTCAACATATACTCGCTTACTTGGTTGACAACTGTTGGGCATAGGACTCGGGTCTAATCGCGTGGATCAAAGAGCCGGGACCAGCGCGAGACGGACGACCCCAAGCGTGCCAGTACTCTTGCGCGCGATCAAAAGCGTCGAGCGCCAAACGACGACGTCTCAGTTATGCGTTGACTAAGCCGAGGGAAGTCACAAGCGGCGCATACATCAGAAAGCAGTCATGTCATGGTGCAATCATAGTCCTAGGTAGAAGCATGGCCTAAGGCCTAGAGGTGTGGCCTATGGCCCAAAGTCTGACATGTCAGTTGTCATGTCACCTCTGTAAACTCACCCACCACCTTGTAGCCTATAAATATGGCATTTACTACGATAGGTGTGGGGATCGCATTTTTCACTCTCTCACTCTACTACAAAGAAATTTCTCTCTCTAAAAGCTCTGAGGTCGAAAACCTTTCTATTGTTAACTCTTCTCACCCTTCTTTCTCTCGAGTCTACCTCCTACCCTCAGTTGGACTCAAACAATTGGCGCCCACCGTTGGGCAGAGCAGAGAAACGATAGAATGGAAAGATCACAAATGTCAGAGCCAAACAACACCCCCAACGAAACAACCCCAATCAAGGCAATGACGAACTCAAGGTCATTCGCGGAGGCGAGCGACCTCAGCGCGAAGAGCCCAAACTGACGGCCAAAGAGATGCGCTAACAAATGACCAAACAAAACGAGATCATAGCAGACATGCAAGCCAAGATGAGCCAAATGATCACCCTGATGATGAGCAAAGAGGCCGCGACGACAGTGGACGCGGCAGCAGTCGCACCTCAACAGGCCCCGGGAGAAGCGTCGGGGACCGCCCCACCACCCCAACCAGCGCCAACAGAATTCCTCGCGTGCGAAGCGCGGGGAGTCGAGCCTCCAGGAAGGGCGGACCTCAGCTTCCTGGAGCAACACCTGTCTCCGCAATACCGCCCCAATCCACCCAGAAAGGCCCTCCACCAACCATTGAGCGCGGAAATCATGGCGGAGCACCTGAGCGGAACGCCACCCGCCCTCCCAACATACAACGGCACGACTGACCCCGAGGATCATGTGAGTACCTTCTGCCTACGGATGCAACTCCAAACCAACTCTAACGCGGCACTGTACAGAACCTTCCCATCAACATTCTCCGGAATATGCCTCGATTGGTATAACAGGCTCTCGAACGGGATCATCCGCTCATTTGAGGAGTTCATACTCCTATTCACGACGAAGTTCGCGTCCCAAAAAATAAGGCCTCTCCACCTCAAGGCGCTGATAGACATCAGGCAAAAGGACGGAGAAAGCATGCGGGCATTTTACGCCAGATGGTCCAGGGTGGCAATGGTCGTGCGCGACCTTACCCCCGAAACCGCCGCCCATCACCTTATGGAAGCCACCAACAACATGGAGCTCAAGCGGGCGCTAGCAAAAAGGCCCGTAACACTATCGACAGAATTGAAGATGAAGATCAAGAAGGCAATCACGCTGGAAGAAACCCTCGGAGCAGGATCCGTCAGGCGTTTCGAACCAGCAAAGTTGCCACAAGAGGAGCAGGGGCGTCGACAGCTACCAATCCCGCGAGACCAATTGGCGCAATTACATAGTGGACCAAAGCGCCACCCCCTCCCCCGCAAGAGCAAGCTCAGCGAGGGCGATCTCCAGACAGGCGCACATCCCACGCCTTCACACCGCTTAATGACTCCGTAAAGAACGTGTTCCACATTCTCCGCGAGAAGGGCTACAAGCTCAATTGGCCTGCGCCG